AATTTTGAATTTAAGGTATTCCCAGATTAAATAACAGCGTTGGCTTCAATATGCGTCCAGACACACATGATGACATCACATTAAAGTCTCATCAATACTTGGTGACATCTTTCCTGGAGCCCTTGTGCTTTATTGTTGCAGATCCAGGATCAGGGCTGAGGCTGTAGATTGTGATCGCAGCTCGTGAAAATGGATCAAGAATCAAGACCATGAATCATGGATGGTGGATCGTGGATCATGATTGCCGACATATGTAATATTGCTCGTTATCTTCTACCATTACTGGCTATACCAGTCATTATTGCTATAGCTGCTCTATTCATCTCTGTCAGAACTTTTCTTTTGTAAACATCCTTGATAACACTGATACACGTCTCTATTTACTTTAGACACTGTCTTTTTTTAAGAGTATTGTAAATATCATTATTTTGCTGCTGCTCTGCTACATTAGACATCTATTGCACGTCTGTGTCATAGACTGTATATAAAACGTTGTGCATGTCCTGGGAAAGGGATCCCTCTGTGAAGGTTTTAAGTTTTTTCCCTGTTAATAGGGCTTTATTGGTAAGTTCTTCCTCAATGTAGTCGAGGGTTAATGGCACAGGTTGTGGTGAGACAACTTATAAACCATGAATATGGGCTGTACAGATACATTATTGATTGATTGATTGTTTGACACATTTGAGATCAAAACCTTATGGAATCTGTGTTCTGTATTCTGCATCAATAATAACCACACTAATAATAAAAATAACAACAATAGGTTTTTTTCTGAGTCAACAGAGTGTAGAGGTTTAACTTCACTTAGTGATTAGTTAATCTCTACGGGGTCATTATCCTAATCATTTCAGATAGATGCCAAACAAAGCCAGCCTGTTTGTTGCCTTGTTGTTGCGGGTGGCCTGGCTCTCTCTGAGGCCAGGGTTGGACAGTGACGGCTCACTGCATCTATTGGATTATGTGAGGGATTTGAAAGTAGGATTAGGCTATTGGGCTGTGGACAGCATGGGGGCTGCTCGAGCCTTTACATCACAGGGGTGTGTTAGATTGTGGGTGTGGGTGTGTGTGTGTGTGTGTGTGTTTTGGTGGGAGGTTGGCATGTGAAAGTGTGTTTGTGCCTCCCAGAGGCGCGTCTCCACTTGGCTCCATTGTCTGTTGCGCGGACCGTCAAACATGAACCTGTTCTGCTTCACACTGGTAAGAGACTTCCTCTCCTGAACTCCTGTAGATTTGAGGGTGGTCTGCCAGGAGCTTGTTCAGCCTCAGAGGCAGAGGGAACTCTGCGTGCCACTGTGGGACACGCTGGTGATGTTATTGTGGCTGACAGGGATCTGAAACGGGCTCTCTGGGGAGCGAGAAGACAACTGCAACCAACTTCTCTCTAAGATTCATAATGTTCCTTTGCTGTGTGCTTGTAGTTGCTGGGTTTGTTTTGTCTGTGTACAACTGTAAATGTTATATAGTTATTTAATTCAATTCATCAGTAGACGTGATAAATCCTGTCAACATGGCACATTTTCTAACAATGTAACAACAACTTAACATTGCACATAATGTTATCACTGTCGAATTACCTCCATAAATATTCTTTAATATTCTTGATTAAGGAAGAATGTGCATATTGGCGTCATCATGACAAAATGTAATGATTATAATGATAACATAAATCATGAGACTGAGTTGAGTGCTGGTGATGAATTGAAACTTTGCCATGGGAGTGCCTTTTATTTGTATTTATAGCCCCTGTCAGAACATTAATGGATGATCAGCAATAATTTACAACACTGAATATGTCAATGCGATGCTTTCGTCTGCACTCGGTGCAGATTTAGGGATTTACTCTCAGGTAGGATTCTGAATTTAGCAACATGGACAGTACAAGATGTCCTCAGCCTCCTGATCCCAAAACCACAATAACACATTAGATATTCGGCTCAACACCCCAGATTTATGTCAATAGTTAAAAGCTGGCGTCTTACTCACACAGGTGTCAGCACTGAGCAGCTGACTCTCTGTGTCACAGTCTTCGGGTTGAGATGGCTGATCAGTCCCACCCTGTTCGGGACATATATACACATAGTGACTGTGATGATGAAGCTGCCTCATGAAGGACCGTGCAGTTCACGAGAGCTCAGTTCATGGTTAAAGGTTGTAGGTGTGAGCCTCTGTGCTTAAGATTTATACTTACCTGGCTGTGGAATGTTGGATGCGTCTCCCTAAAAGATATTCACTGTCCACATGAACAAGGGGGTAATAATCGAGAAGTTTATATAATTTTTTAATACCAGGCATTTTTACATATTTTTACATCGCACTTCTCACACAGAATATAATCAGCCTTTTCCCACGTCCAGACATTCAGACTAAATCTGTGTTTGTAGCAGATTGCTGACCTGCCCTGTTCAGGAACTGAGAAAATGAAGCAGAAGAAAGTTCAGCACAGAGTGATGGATATTGATTATACATGTTTGAGTGACACGCTGTACATGCAGAGTAATTACACCAGTGTAGATGCCAAACTGGTAGATTAGAAGACATGTCCACCTGCCTCTGCCTCAAGGCTTTTCATTGATTTTATATTGTGTAGTTGGACTGATGACTGATTCCAGTCAATTCCTCCCTGATGAACCTCAACAATGAGTTTGAACAGTGTGAAACAGTGTGGGCTGCTTTTGCTATGTAAAAACGCTGATTGCTCTTTTTACTCCCAGGCAGGCTCCACAGAAAGTTTATATGAACCAGTCTCCAGCCAAACACTGAGGGAAGCCCTGCCCAAGTACCAGTGCAGCCCTGCTCTGCTCAGGTGTAATCCTGAGTGGGGGGGCTCAGAACCATCCATCACTTCTGTGAGTGTCCGTTGTTGCAGCTGAACACCCCTCTCCTTCAAACAAATAGACAAAAAACATATGAAAGGAAAAGTGAAAATACCACATTACACTTTCAACAAAATAGTAAAAGTACTTGCTTCAAAACTTTTTTCTAAACTAATGGAATTGTCTACTGTGTCATCAACCATACCTACATTTTGTTTAATACTACAATAACACAGACTCCCTCATCATAACACAAAGGATGATCCTAGTGACAACACTTCCATTGTCATATTAATTCAAATCAAAAGCCTCTTCCGAATCCATTGTTATTCAGTGCAGTGTAATGCAATGTATTTTAAAAACGTGCTTGAGTAGAAGATAAACGTATCCGAAAGTAAAATCTACATTAAAAATGCACTTTAGTACAGAAACAAAGTAAATGCACTTTCTTACATTCCACCAGTGTATATGCTTATGATGTGTGTGCAGTGTGATTAATGAGAAAACAAGAGAATAGCAATGCTTGCAGCTCTGTGAGGTTTTTACTAAGACACAGAGGTTCTTTGAGCTAAATGCTAACAGCCCGCTCATGTAACAATGCTATCGTGCCGATGTTAAGCAGGTGTTCTCCCGCCTGTAGCATCAAATCACATCATAAGATTAAGAATGTTGACAAATGGCGAGTGTATCCTATTAGCTCTTTTATATTTGGTTTTGTTTCCCCAAGAGCCAACCTGAGAATGCAGTGAAATTGAAAAGGAGCAGCAAAAGGTATGTGAGATTTTTTTTGCTCACTTTTTTCATTTCAGTTCAATTCACATTTCTATGTATAGCACCAAACCATAACATCCGTTATTTCAAGGCCCTTTAAAAGTCGAGATCTTACAATAGTATAGAGAAACCAAACAGTCCCCACATCAGGCTTTGTTCAGTAAAATGTTAACACAGACTGCATTTCTTAGTGACTCTTTCTTTGTTTTGATTTCTTTCTTTTCTTTCACTCATTAGAATCAACTCTTCTCAGTAAATTAAAGTGTTTGTCATTTCAGGTCATGTTTACCGACATCACCCTTGGACAATAAGACCACAGGTTGGTAGATAATGACCATATTCACTCACTGTAACATGCATCCCTGCGTCGCCTTCAAATCACCCTCGCCTGGAGCAAAATGCTGCTGCTAAGATTACTACTGTTCATTACAAGTATTTTTACAAGAAAACCTGACCATATTGGGGCAAAGGTAGTGGGCCACCCAATAACCATAAGGTTGGTGGTTTGAGGTTTGATAGAGAAAGTGCAGCACATAGATGCACCATATGAATGTGTTGATAACAAAAACTGTCCTGTAAAGAGCTTGGAGTGGTCATCAAGACTAAAGCTCTATATAAATACAGATCATTTTTCGTAACACTGATGCTGATTCTAGCCTTGCTCCACTTGCTTCCTGTTCGTTTTCACATTTATTTTTTATTTTATTGATGACTTTTAAAGCCCTATCATGGATTTACTTACTCCCTATGAGCCTGGACACCAAGATCTTCTCTCAGAGCCTGAGTGTTAAACTAAAGGCTGACATGCTTTTGCAGTACAGGCCTCCAAACTCTGGAATTACTTCTCAGTTGAGTCATTTAAATGTCTATATAATGTCTGTAATATAATGTATATAATATCTATATAATGTCTGTATTGTTTTACTGTTATTATAACTATTATTATAACCATTATTATTTTTTAATTATTATTATTATTATTATTATTAGTTTCCAGATGATTAGGACTTCATCTACTAACCTTGGACAAAACTCATCTCGATTACATGTGAAATGTGAATGAATCTTTCTGTAAATGCAGCTACAATGGGACCAATGTGTCCCCTGGCTCTTCTTCTTCTTCCCCTCCACTTTGTCTATTGCAGAAAAAGACATTCATCATGTCTGCTGGAGGTCTTCTGGTGACGAGACAGACTTGTCTCATCTAAACAAAGTTCCGAGCAGAGGTAAAGAAACATGTTGGCGTGTGCAAAAGTAAAATGATCGTCATAAGACAATGACCGTGTTTTGACCTGATGTGCAGGATGCCTTAGTGATGTGTATGTTTGACAGTAGATGCTTTGAGGAGGAAATGAAGCATTAAGTGACGTGTTGTTTCATGGTGCAGGGATGTGTGAAGCTCGCTGTCAGAGCAGCATGACGACAAGAGATGACAGAGTGAAAGAGCTGAAGTGTGACAGGACGCAGACAGATCTATCCGCTCAGGTAAAACCACATTACTGTCACCTTACAGAGCCACATGATGAATGTTGTGTTCAAAGTAAAAACCAAACCCTATTATCCAAATAAACCAATGTCATTCACACGAGGACTCAATCACTTTAGTGCCACAAATGATAATTGTTTCCAAAGCAGAGGGCAGAGTTTAGTCTTATGTAATCCTGTACACACGATGTGACAGACACGCACGTAGATACCTGGCATACCTGGGTGTTTGTGCACGTGTTAGTGCACGTGAGGGAAAGTGACAGTGGCTGTTTACCTTTGCTTCTTTTCAACAGTTATGTAACAGAGGAGGGGGAAAAAAACACAGAATTATCACATCACAGTAAAGTAAAAGTCATGTAAGGTTTAAATGTGTCAACGCAGAAATGTGACCGATGCTTCAAGTGACTTCAGCGTCTTTATGTTCTTTGTAGGAAGGTTACAGGAGGGAAAAAGTGAATGTAAAGCAAACTGGAGGGAGGTCAGTTGTATGTCAGCCAAATCAGATCCACTCTTCACTTTAATCTGCTTTATAATCTTTAATCTCCTTTATAGGGACCTTTTATATCTGCCTTGTGTTTCCTGTATTTTGTACAGGTTGTTGCTTTTCTTGCCAACAGCTGATAGTTGAGATGGGAACATCAGAACGGGGCAGCAAGGACACAAGGGAACAAGTGATAATGCAGTGTCCTATAGGGTCATGCTTTAACTTGAATGTATATTCAGATCCTCTACATACGTAAAACAAATAAATCACACTGAGAAGACACAACGTTACAAATAGACAAGTAAAAATACAGAGTCATTATCAGATAAATTAACTTTAAGTACAAGTATTCTATTAATATACATGAAATTATTAGCTTGTCAATAAAAAGTACAATATTTTACTGGTAAATAACAGTATCAGCCTCCATGTTTAGTAGAGTAATGAGCATGTCTGATTTATGTTTATGTCAAGCTTCCTCTAAATTCAGAGGGAAATATTATAATTTATATTAATAAATATTAATATTTTTAACCACAGCTTGATAAACTCATGAAAAGCAAGACATTTTTTCAGAGGTGATGTATATAAAGTAGTTTAAGAGGCTGCTTACACACTGATGGAGACAACAACCTAATGCAGCCATTTATTATAATTTGAAACTGGAACCAGTTTTTCCATGAGGTCTTAAAAGTTAAATTATCGAATCTAATTTCAGGCCTTCAAAAGTGTTAAATATTTTAAAATATTATGTGGTAGGTACAGTGTGTAGAATTTAGTGACATTTAGTGGTGAAGTGTCATGTTGCAGCTGAATACTCCTCGTCTCACCCTTCCCAACATGACAGAGAACCGGTCGTGAACTTCAGTTGTCATGAAAACTCCAAAGGTCTTAGTTTGTCCAGTTTGGACGACAGTAAAAAACATGGCGGCCTCCACAGAGAGGCCCCCCCTCCATGTAAATATGAAGTATTTAAATATAAAGGGCCCATTCTATGGTAAAGAAAACAACAATCTCAGGTCTTAGTTATGTTAATATTGCTACTTCTATTGTGCATAAAGTTTGTATACATGTTTCAGTGGCATGCAGAGTTTATGATGTCTCCTTGTGTTGTAGTTCTTTCTCACCATATATAACACGCTGTGATAAAACTACAAACAAGACCATCAGGGACCTGTTTACTAGACTCACCTTAGCTGTGTAAGGATTATGGATTCCTGCTGTGTCTGCCTTTAACTTACACCAGTGAATGTAAATTGCCATTTGTGTTTAAATGGAACTATACGGGCAGTCAGAGAGCTCACAGAACAGTCCCCTTATGAAAAAATATTTAGATTCACTAGATCCAGATTTTAATTTGTATCTGCACCAAATAAATATCAGTCCCCAAAACATGTCTGAATGTTTCCATTAGCATCTGTGACCTGGATCTGCACCAACATCTCTTTTTAACCCACACCACGTCCTTCAACCTGCTCTCTAGTTTTTGCATAATCCGGCTATATAACAGACAAACACAGAAGAGCACAGAACTTCCTTGGCAATAATATAAAAACTTGTTACAGGTATTAATTTCAGGTTTTTGCAGTTCATTCAGACAGTTAGTAAATCTGACATTGTTAATAAACACATGTATATACATTAATTATAATATAAAAGTAGTAAGCAGTGGAAAATAACTCACAAACAAAAATCACAACACAGAGGTGTGAAGTCTGAGTGATGCTGGGTGTGTGTGCACACTGCTTTAAATGCACAAACTGTTTCTTCATTCCAGGCCAGTCAAACTGCAGCTGACACAGCAGAATCCATTCACAGCAAAAGAAGACTAAAGAAGTTACAGAGTCTGGCACAAGCAAAGAAGGGACATCAGAGTGGAGGAAAGAACACATCTGGGAACAATGGTGAGTTTGTGGAGGCGATTTTCTTCAACCTGTAGAAGAGGAATTATTGCACAATTGAAATAATTAAAAACAACTTCTGCTCATCTTTAGATTGTTTGGCAGATGTGTTGAGAAACAACAATCCGGTGCTATCCTGCATCGGCCAGGGGAAGAGAACAGAGAAGTCGAATAAAGCTGCTGCATCACCACAACAGGCCAAAGAACATGAGGATTCAGAGGAGGAGAGCATTCTGAGCCCAAGGGTTGGAACTCATCTGTGGAGCCCATTTGAGTGTCCACAGCCCTGGACTCCTTTCTACCACACCTGCCAGCAACCTCGACAGGAGCTGTGGGCGTGTGGCGGCACCTTGTCACTGCCTCGCACCAGAGAGTGGGATCGTTTCGAGACTTTGATACAGAAACTGGACGTCAAGCAGCCCATCAGTCCGTCTCCCCCACAAATGATCCGCTCCATCACAGACCTGCACCTCTCACAAAACACAGTAAGACACACAGCAGGTTGACTTTTCCACTAACGCAGAAGTGTCATCTTAATGAATAAATTCACAATTTTTCAAATCTGATTTGGATTTTTAAACTTCCCCCATTTCTGCATCTCTGAATGATTAAAACTGTTGAGTGTCTTGCCAGGAGGGGGGCACACTGAGAGCAGTTTATTTGCTTATTGAGTAAATGTCTCTGTCAAAGGTGGGGTAAGTGATATTAATTCCATGCACTTTTTATCAAATTTTGCTAATATCTCCTCCTGTGTGCGCTGATAATCCGCTTTAAATACACATCGCTGGCTCTGTCTGTGGGAAACAAAGAGAGTTGGACGACCCAAACAGCACAACCCTGTTCCTGCTTGTGCACGGGAGAGATGCTGCTGGGGCGACGACACGTTGCCGTCTCCACGTGGGCAGCACCCAGTCCCAAACATGTGCAGCATGGGTGTCTGACTATCTGCTTCTTAGGGTGTTGCTTATGTCTGTGGTAGCTGATTCCAACTTATTGAGATCAGTGATGCACCTTGGCAAAAAGATAAGATCAACTTTATTAATCCCACACTGGGGAAATTGCAACGTGACAGCAGCAGAAGGGCATTAGGATAGAGACAAATGAAAATATAGAAATAAGAATAAAAATATACATGTATGTATGTATGTATATGTATATATATAAAGAGAAATTTAAACAATATGCAAAGATACCGGAAAATTCACAGTGATTATTGCACATGAGAGTGGAGAATATACATTGGGATGTAACAATTCACAAGAATTGCACACGCACCTAAAATTGAATATAAATATTGCACATCAACAGTTGTTCCCCAAAATGACTTTCCCACCTTTAAAGTGTTCCAACATGTTGGAAGTTACTTCTCCACCAGCTTTTCATTGCTTCTGCTAATGAAAGAAAACCATTGCAACTGTAGAGGGGAGTAGCTCCCTGTCCCTGTGTAAAATGTGGCACGTGGGATCTTTAAATAGCGTTTCTTTGTGAAGCATTTCTTTTGTGCCAAAGTCCAGTAGAGAGCAGCACAAAGGCCCCAGTCTCTGAGGTGTAACATTTTGTGTTGACGCAGTTCATAATGCAGCCTGCTCCCAGACCTGCACAGTGTCATTAAGCTGTGCCTCGCAGGGCCTGACTTTGTAATTGCACCTCCGAGCTCCTCGGGGACCATTCAGACCATCCGAACAGTAATTGAAATGTCCACTAATACTTGTTTTCTTAAATTGCTCTTATGATTTTCTGAACCAAAGCTTTTTACAGCTGAGTTGCACTTTCAGCCTCACTACACACAGCTAATGGCTCCTAAAGTGCTGCTTAATAATATTATAATCATGATCACAATCGTAATCATGTGGAAAGAAAACAAATGTGACGACATTAAGTGAGACTGTGTATAGACCATCCTGCTCACAGTGGCTGGTGCACAATGTAATAACTTTTCCCCTAAGAACCTACAATTATGAATTATTGATGTGTTTATTGATGAGTTTATGAATATGTTTTTAACATTATACATAGCTGGGAAGCATGAAGCCGCTAGAAAGTTAAATGTCAGAGCACATGATTGAAGAAATTATACAGATAAAGGGGAGATTATCTTTTTTAACATTTCAATATCAACTGACTGGTCCTGCATCAATGTTGTCTGGTGGAGCAACTCAGAGAAGATAACTCAGGGGACTGGTCACCGCTTGGGTTCAGAAACCTCACATTTCTGATCCTGTATCAGACAAAAGATGCTTGTCAGTTGCATTATGTGAAATAAACAATAGAGAACATCTGGAGTTTAACCTCAGGACTAAAGTTAGGATATCTCAGTCTCTGCTGCTTTGATTTGGACAATTATTAATGAATTAAAAAAGTATCTCTGACTTAAAAAAACAGGTGTTCAGACAGTTTAGAATATATATAATAATAAATCTATTTGTATGGCACTTTTCAGAACACAGTTACAAAATGCTTTAAAGATTAAAATCAAAACAGAGCACACAGTCAATGTAAAAAAGAGGACATAAAACAGAGTGTAAGACCAGATAGGTGAAAAATATAGATAAATATAGATAGAGAGACAACAGCGATAGGCTAAGATAAGATCAATTCTCAACTTAGCCAGTGTTGTGATGAGGATGGGTGTGTTATTCAATGCAAGTCATTTTTTTATAATACATATCCATAAACAGTGAACATGTCTGTGGTTGTAACCTGTTTCTAGTACAAACACATAATCTATTAATGTGTCAGAGCAGTAACGGCCAGTGTTGGGAAATGATCCAAGAGTGAATGTAGCAGATGTTCTGAGCGCAGAGCTGAATAACTGATAAACTGAAGCTAACGACCAACTGTTTTTATACTGTCTCTCCTATAATGACACTTATGTTGGAATATGAGACAATGAATCAGCAGACCAAGATCATTTGAACTGTAAAAGATTATACTGGTAAAAATAACAGTGAACGTTTCCCCCTTGTTATAATAAAATAATATATCTTTAAACATAGCACAGTCAAATACAACATGGTCCTTAAAATACAATTTATACACTATTTTGACTCGGGATATAAAAATGACACCATATCCAGCTGTATTGCTGCCAGGGGTTAACCTCATTTCTGAAGACAATCATAAACAGGGATGAACACAAAGTGTTTGGTTGTGGGGGTCACACAGAAAGATAACAAGCACATCTGTCACTTGAAACCACTCATTCAAATCTCGTCTTTACCCAGATGACCAGATTTGGGAGATTTGACGCCTCCTCACAACGCTCGCCTTTAATGAAACCGCAGGATGATGGAATCTGTGCGGTAAGAAAAACCCACCTCCTCAATCTGCCAGCATGTCTGTCTAGGAAAACATCCTCCACCACACCAAACATCCGGTGTTTAGACTGGGAGGAGCCCTCTGTTTACATGGTGTGTACTTTTTAAATCCAAACAGGGGCAGAAAGAGGATCCACTCAAATCAAGGCTGCAGGAGGAGAAAATGGAGGCGTCACCACAGACAGACAGGAAGCACGCCGACGCCCCGCCGGAGAGAGTCGTGACAGCCATCCCCGTACGTCTGGCACCCGGCTCATGTTAACACAACCAGTTTGAAGTTCACTGCTCCCTGCATTTGGTTCACACCTCATGAAGTAACATCTGTTTACAACCACACAGCTGTCAGCCCCACACCTGCTCTGCCAGGCTGCGCATTTATCTATCACTGACTGTTTCACACAGAGCTCATTACATGCTAATGTTGACATTAGTAGCACTGATAGGGACTGATTACCGGCAGGTTATCCAGTTAACCTAAAACATGAGCTAAACCAACAATGTGACGTGAGGAGTTCATGGGTACTGATCATATTTTTTATTATTGTCAAGGTGTCAGCTGTATTTTACTGCACCTTTCTAATCATGCAATTTGACAATTTGGGGTTCAGTATCTTGCCCAATGACAACCTGGCATGGGCAATAGACGAGCCAGGGATCAATCTGGATCCTCTGTATGTCTTGATCAGGTTCACATATTTGCAATACATGTCTGACCAGCATAAATTACTGATTAATCATCATTTGATGAAAATATGCAATGACGTGTGAAGAATTAAGAAGTGTATTGAATTCCTCTGATAAGAAATTCTCACAGAACTGCACGTCACCTGGATTTTACTGAAAACAGTCTGAAGGGGGCATCTGGTGGCCTAACGGCACATTCCACATAATTACAGCATCCATGGTTGGATCCCTGGCTGCATGGGGACCGTTGTTTCATGTCATACCCCTCTCTCTCTCTGTGACCTAGTTTCTCTCTCTATCTTTCTCCCCCCCCCTCTCTCTCTGAAGTATTATCCCAAAAAAAAGGAGGAGAAACAGGCCACAGCTATGGCAACACAAGTCAGGATGAAGCATTAAGGAATTTTTATTTATCAATTTACACTGATGTTATACATATTACGATTATATGCAAGAAAAATCACTTGAGTCTATAGTCACAACAAAACAAAACACACCAATGTACAGGATTTGTGTTGATAGAAATGTAAAAGTGTTTTGAACAGACACCAACATGCTGCTGAAGCACCATCACCAGTATATAATAGATATTTCAGCCATGTTAGTTGTTTTGAGGGTGACAGTGTCAGTGTGCTGTTTTAGGCCTTTCAAAATTTAATTTGTGATATGTTAAATTCAAAATAAATGTTGAGTTCTAATAAATTACATCTATAATATGAATCCTGTCACATTAGATGATAAAATAACACAATGTTGCCTTATGACATCCTCCTGGGACTAGATCCCTGTGTTACATATCAACCTTCAGACTTTACTGTTGTTCAAAACTATACACCGGACAAGTGCACATTCAAACACAATGTCATTATAGAAAATAAATTACAAAAATGAATAAAAAATTAAATTAAATGAATATGAAAAGCTAAAATAGAAAAGACAAAATAACTTTAAAAGCAGCATTAAGTATAAATAGCTCATGTAACACAGCATATATAGTATATTGCACAAAATTAAAACAACTGTGTATTGTGCACTCGTATATTGCATCAAGGCAGAAAAAGAGAAAAAACAGGGACAAACAGTGTTTTGTGTGAGTGTGGGTGATTGGGCGTTATTCAGAATAACAGAGCCTGCAAACACCTTTCAATTTTAGAAAGATGCATTTAGTCTATTTCTACTTTGAGCTCTCATAAATACAACCTAATTATTCCCAGGCATCCAAAATCTGGCTGACAAATTCAGAGCCCAGTGAAATCATGTGTTTCTGTGTTTAAGCTGCGTGCCAATTCAGAAGCTTGTTCTCAGGTGGATGGTGCCAGAACAGTCCGTGGAGTGAAAGTCCCTGTACAGGAACAGGAAGTTAAAAGCTGAACACAGGTAGCTGGGGATTACGCTCGTCACACACCTCCTAGGTGTCAGCTATAAAAAGCAAAGGCAACTCTTGCAGGATTAAGTGTTTTGCTTGCCAGAGGAGCTGCGTGTCCCAGCGTAAACTGGGATGCTGAGCTGTTCCGTCACATGAGGAATCAAACGCGGCAGCTTAGGGCTCCGACTCAGTTTTCTGGTTGGTCAGCGGCCTCTTTTGTTTGCCTGCAGTGGGAGATAACGAATGATAGAGAGCATAAAAAAGCGTACTAGAGAATACAAATGTGATTTGGTGTTTTGACTGTGCAGAATGGGGACACAAAGAAAGATGAGGTGATGAAGGAGGCTGCAGGTGGGCGACGGTTCACTAAAAGACACAGGAAGTCCACTCACTCTGTGGAAAGCCTCTACAGCCTCAACAGTGGACAAAGCTCCTCAAGTAAGCACCTTCAGGCAACTCATTGAACTGTGCAACTCCTCCTCCCCTCTTTCTTTTATCCCTTTCTTTAAATGCACTCATTTATAGAGCCACACTAACCTTTGACAAACCAAAAAGAATTCAACATCCTCTTCGATCTCTTATTTGATCAATTTATTAGTATTACTTATTATCCACTTATTTTTATTTTATTGTCTCCTTTTGTACTTTGTATTTAGTTTGTTCTTGTGTTTGTATTTTTTTGTTTTTGGATGTGTGTTGAATTTGTTTTTTTCTATATCTACTTGTATCATTGCGTTCAGGGCCCCCTCAAATATGAGATGATAGAACCCTTAATCCTAATGAAATGTCATACACAGTAATCAGCTCAGGCTTTATTGAGTCCTTTTGTTTGCGTGTTGTTCCCCAGGTGGAGTCACCAGTGGGTCAGACTGCTCCAGTAACAGATGCAGTCTGAGGCTGGAGGACGATCTCTTGTGCACCAGACAGTTCTGTGGCAGAGCCAGAGTCCATACAGACCATGTGCCAAGTCCATACGACACAGAATCCCTTAAACTCAAGGTAAACAAGTCGAAAGAGTAAATGCTGATGAAATAAACCATCTGTATTTGTGTTTGTATTGTACTGGGGCCATTTTGAACCCTTGAATGACAGTCATCAGCCATCCATATGTTTTTAAAACAAAAGAAAGGGAGTGGACTCAAATGCAAACAATGCTAGTAAAGGTTCAACAGGTTCACAGGAGATCAGCAGAACCAACCAAAGCTTTTCCAAAAACATTGAGCAAAAACACAATCCAAAAAAAACAGGCAAAGTAATACACAAGAGAACAGGACACAGGTGAACTGAAAGACAAACTGAGAGTGAGAGGAGAGCACCACCTAAATACACCATGGGAGCTAACAGGACACAGGTGATTGCATTTAGGGCGGAGCAGGTCATCTAAGTGGAGGGAAATGGAACAATGGCAGGAAGTGAAGGGATCTGAAATGAGAGGACAAGGTACGTTCACGAAATAAAACAGGAAATGAACAAAACACTAAACAACTAAGATATGAGATCAGGTGTTACAGTTTTTAGTGGCATTGCTCTTGGTAGGTATGGATATAATCGTCCATTTGGTCAGGTTGGTCCACTACTGTGATGTTCTCAAGAGACATAATAATAATAACTATAATTAATAATAATAATTTAAAAAAATACACATTTAAGAACATATTTTTCAGGTTAAATATTTTTTTTATTTGCTGTGCAAGAAGTTAGTTATATGGCACATTATCTTTGTATGATGTTGTTTACGTGATGTTGGTGCATTTTCCCTGAATAAGTAAATGTAATCAATTTCAACCAAACTTTCCTGTAGGTGGGAGATGTGATTGACATCATCACCAAGCCCCCCATGGGAATATGGAGAGGCATGCTGAATGGCAAGGTGGGAAACTTCAAGTTCATTTATGTGGACGTGCTGAGAGAGAGGAGTCCTGAGCCGCACAAGGAAACACAAACCCCCAAAGACAGACACAGGTCAACAGTCCAGGAAGTGTTAAAGCGCCTCAGTTTGGAGGTATTAAGTTTTTATTTGTTTGATCTGACGCAGCAACAATCATCTTCCATTCTTGAGGGTGTTCACCCAGCTTGTGAATGATGTTTTTCCCAGGAGTACTCCTCGTCCCTGCAGCAGAGCGGTTACCAGACAGTAGAAGACTTGATGAGGCTGAGCGAGCATCACCTGATGGAGCTGAATGTGACTGATCCAGAGCACAGGCATCGTCTGCTCGCCGCTGTCGACTCCCTGCAGCAACTGAGCTGTGAGTAATGGGAAACACAGAAAAGGTCATCCAAGGACGGTGTCATCATGCACATTTGTGACATGATAAAACTGGGAAAAAATGCGCCGAGACGTTTGGATTCAGATAGGAAAAGGGAGAAGTGGCATTACGCTTTAAGTAGATAAGACAGCGAGGGTATCCAGGCTACTAAAGAGGTGAGCTAAAGAGGTCAAGGATAACAGGATAACCCCAAAGAGCATTTCTCAGAATAGAGCAGGACACACAAGGGCGGAGGCTGCACACAGACAGGCCGTTCAGCTGCAATACACAGGAACAATAGCTGTAAAGGATAACTTACTGTTCATCTATTCCAGCCTCTGACAGTGCATCCAACCAAGCTGTCCCCTCTGATTTACAGCCGATCGTCAGACGGAGAATGAGGCTAATCAGGAGGCCGAGACCCCCGGTAAAAACACGAAGGCAGATATGAACAACAGCTCAAGGGACTCGGGCTGCCACGACAACACGGCAGAGGACACAGAGCTGCACAGTCCCTCTCAACCAGCGGAGATGACGGCTTCATGAAAGCAATCCATTCTTCATCATGCCTGCTTTATCCCTTAATGTGCTGCTGAGATGACTTGTGAATCAAGCACTGTTTGCAATGAGGTGATTTGACGTGCACTAAAACGCCCATGTGGAGCATTTACAACAGCAAATCCTTCAACTCCACTGCTGGTTCCCTTCATCCATCTGTTTCCTGAAATTAAACATTTTGTGAATGACTTGGTTTTAGCATGTTTACTTCTAATGTGGATCATAACAGTCACCCCATGAGATTAATTAATGCTCATCATCTGTATGCAGGGTAACTGTACAGTTGAGTACTCCACTGTCAGTAACATGAGTTTTTTAAACTTTGCATATTTCTAGGACTGCAACTAGCAGTCATTTTTATTATATGTTCATGTGCCAATAATTTTCTCAATTAATCATTGAATAATTCGTTTGATGACAAGTTAGAAATAATATAATAATACATTTATTTCTACAGCACATTTCAGACATAAAATACAGCTCAAAGTGCTGTACAATAAAATCAAAGAAATAAGGTAGATCAAAAAGAATGCGTTAGCAATAAAACAAAGACATGAGATAGAAGCATAAAATGAACAAAAGGTATAAGAAGAAAAATAAAGACAATGGTCTTAATAAAAAGGATACAATTAATTAAAAGCAAGATCATTAGTAATTTAAAAAAGTAAATAGGGATCATAATGACCAAAAATGGTTATGTCCTCAATACTTATGTCTTATCTGAACATTAAAATAAAATCCAAATATTTTCAAAAGACAGATGTCATGTTCAAATGTCACAGAGTAAATTAATTTGGACTATTTTGCTTGAAAGAGACATTAATGATTAATCAGTTATTAATCACGTTGCTGGTCATTTTTTAACAGATTAGATGAGGATTTATGTGATCACAGCTCTGCAGATGTCATCTTTTTGATACTTACAGTGTAATGATGCTTTTTATCCAAATACCTTCTCATGTTGCACACGTGGAAACTGTTGATGCATTTCTGTGGTTTGAATCATATTTACTCAAAATCCTCTGGTCAGCTGACATGGATGTAAACATTAAGATTACATCTCAGCACTATATCAGTATGACACAGGTAGTTTAGTGAGCAGTGACCAAGTGTGGTTTCTGTTCCAATTTTATCTTAAGCTGCAAACTCTCTGCTCTCTTGGTTGATTTTTTGTAATCAGCAAGTAAACGTATTGTTGCTTGAAATTCCTCGACAAGCCTGAAGTCTACTGCTATCACCAGCTTAATATAGCATGTGAGCATGCTAAGATATGCTACTTATAACAAAAGACAAAAAGTGAAGCACTGGGCCCAGAGTTAGGTCAATAGATTAGTTGAATTGGTCTTAAACAATTTGAATGTAATACAATTTTGTCCTGATAAAGAAAAGTCCTTTAGTCTCCTCTGGAGACAACAAATGTCTGATCAAATCCCTCCAACAGTTGCTGTCCTCCATGGAGCTGCATAGCAGTACTCACACTGGCAGTAACTCCATAAATACTACCATTATTGATATGCAACAGTTAGATTAGTTATCTGACCTACAGCAAGTGACTTTAAGAGTTTGTGTCAGTTTAATTTGTATTTTTATTATTATTATATATTTTTATTATCAATACTATATATTATTTATGTATTTATTTAAAATACTTTGAGATTATCTTTGAAAATAATCCAGAGAAGAAAACATGCACATTTTTCAAAGAGAAACGATTTATTGAACAGTTGACAGTAGTAGTAGTAGTAGTAGTAGTAGTCTGAATTTTTACCTATCATTAAACTAAAAATATACAGTATTTTTCAATATTCTACCAGTCACTTTATTTAACAAAAAGGCAGCCATGTGAAAGATGTAATAACTAATATGACTATACAGCAAATCAATCATGGCAGATAAGAGGCAGAGAAAATGCAGAACATTGGCACCCCCCACCCCACACAAAGTACCTTCATCCCATCAAACTGCAAGAAAACACATGCCAGAGTCTGTCACACATATAATAGGACTTCAGTCATCATGATAATCAATGCAAACATAAGATATTCTGTTTATACGTCCAAAACAAATCCTCTCAGAGGGGAAAAAATAAAAACTCATATTTACATCAGTGTATATTACAGAACACTACACAGCTCATTTCCTCTGTTATAAAACAACAGCAAAAGTCAATGACATGGAAAAATACAACAGAACAGCTTTATTAGCTCAGATAAACATTTGGAGAAGGTCACTCAAGCAAATGGACCGAAACAGAAGATCTTCCTCATGGTCAGATGGATGTTTGGCCCAATAACAACACAGATCAATACATCTATAGCCAATAATATTGAATGAGTGGATATTCTGCTGATAAAATGTGTTTCTACATGAAGAAAGTGAACTGATGTTCTAAAATTATGATTCAAACACACAGATTTATTACAAAGAATTCCTGTTTCACCAGGTCGGTGACTGTGGCTCCATCTGACTCAACACAATTCTCAGTTTGTTCATCCACTGAGTGATGACATCATCACATATGCAAAACAGCAATATTCCCAGCGCCCTTTACATTTTTCGAGTACAGTTGAAAGTGACAGCCTTTGACAGGGTAAGTAAATACTGAACTGTTTTAGAGCCTTGTAGATTAGACTGGCAGGAAATCAACAAAAGTACATTATATTAAAAATATCTACATGAAGGTGTCTGATGATGAAAGGTTGCACTGATAAAAAAAAAAACACTGCCCAGTCGAAAAATTTGTTCATCTCATGAAATGCAATCAAAATTGAAGTTGCATGTAAGCAAGTGGATAAACAATTCTTTTAAAAACTTAGTGGAAAGATTCCTTGTCCGCACAAGATTTGGTGGCTGTCATCACTTCCGGGGTTGTTTGCCGTACAGATCACCAGAAAAATCCTTGTCAGTCATTTTCAGTGAGTGGCTGGTTTTTCAGTGACTGAGGCCTCCATGAGAGTAGGTGGCGTAACCGTTCTCAGGATACAGAGACAGCTCCTCTGTGCTGCTCAGCCCGTTGTTAATCTCTGAAAAAAAGAAACATCAGTGTTTTCTGCTGCTGAACTTCAATCGTGTATTTATCCAGTCAATATGTGAGGGAGTTTAAGTTACACAGCCTGATGATTAAAGAGCATTGGGTTACGTTGAATTAGTGATGAACTAGAAATACAGCACAGCACTTGAACCAGTTCAGTTTCAGTCTACGTTTCTAGTTTCTGATTTATTTGAGGTCACTCTGACCTTTAACCACTGCAATCTAATCAAATTAAAAATGGTGCTCTTGACACGTTCTTAAGATAATGTCTTCACATGGCAAAAAGAGTTGTGTGAGGTCACAGTGACTTCCACCTTTAACATCTAAAGTCTGATAAGTTCATCATTGAATCCAACTGAATGTTTGGACCAAATTTTAAAAAGTTCCCTCAAGGCGTTCGTGTTCACAAGAATGGGACAATCGGATGGACGTACAGACAGACGGATGGACGGACTGAAAACCTGGAAACATAATGCCTCGGGACATTGACTGTCTCCGGCGTGGATGTGTTAATACCAAGATTTTTGGCTCTTCTGATTTTTGCATCATAGTTTTAAATGCCTATATTATTTAATGCATCAATTGTTGCCGTAAAGAGCTCAACAGTCCGATTTATTTACTGGACACAAGCTGTGACTACACTGATTCACTGGCACCTGTAGATAAAACTCGAGCACCCCCCTGTGATGGGATTAAAAACTGTCTCCCACCTCTGATTTGCATACACATCCTTGTTATCCTGTGGTGAAACTATATCACTCATAGATTTAATAATGGCTTTTTACCTTGATAATAGGAGCTGATATGGGAGCTTACAACAATATGGATGTGGTGCATGTTTTTTCTGTCCAGTTAAAACCAGAGCGACTGAATTTCGTCGTGGGAATGTGCTCGGAGCTCTACCTGAGAATATGAGCTTCTCCTTCATGATGTTGACGTCTCGGCTGGACCGTCGCACCACCGCGCTCAGCATGATCTGTTCAGGGTTATAGGTCTGCATCCCGCTCATCCTCCACCTGTTACAGCAGACACACATACAAAAGATTGCAAGCACACAATGCCACCTGTGTTATTACACCTTTTTAAATTCAGCTGTAGTGGTACACATGAAATGAACATTTAATGGGGCCACACGGATGTACAAGAGGTAAACAAGTGCAGGGAAAGAAAGGGAAGGAGTCTGCCTCTGGGTGTTGGGCAGAAAAAGGTACAAGGAGGACAGACGAGGAGGCAGAAACAAGGAGCAAGGCGGTGGCAGCAGTTACCTGATCATATGATAGCTGACAGATGCCAGGGGGCAGCGGAGATAGGTTGCATGCAGATCAGGCAGAGCACAGCACAAAGAGGACAGGAAGAGAGTGAGAGGTTAGAGCACGGAGGAGAAACGTGGAAACATCCAGAAGACAAAAGACAAGAGGAGAAAACAAAAACAAAGAGAAGAAGTAAAGCATGAACAGTCAGTGTAGAAAAAGCAGACAGTACAAAGGCCAAAGGTCAGCTCAGATCCAATCAGACTGTTACAGTTTAGTTTTGTTAATACTGAATCTGTGAATTTAGATTTAGATAAAACAGACATTTATTATCATTTCACTAAACAACAATGACACCAACTGTGTTCACCAAATAAGACAACAATGGATAATTTATCAATAACACTGATCAGCCACGATAAAAAGACCTGTTTCTGGAGATGCTGCTACTGAGTGTAGCTTTTAAACGCTGTGAGCAACACAAATAAACTGTGCCCGGGCTGAGGCAGAGGTGCATATCTGAAAACCTGAACACAACAAATCAAAACTATCCGCTTGGTGAAATACCACACAAAACTTATTTTGCATTTTTTAATTATTTGCATGCACGGACCCTTTAAGAAACCTGCTCACCCTTGTCATAGGTTGCATATGCCCACTGGTTTTGACTAAATTGAGGAATACTATTCTGCCTTTTTTTTTAAATTTAATCGTATCCCTACTAAATATATTAAAATTGTATACAGGGTGAATGAGAGAATGATAGAATGACTATGATGACTGTTTGGACAGGTGCATGTATACTATATAAATGTATGTTCAGTAGTTGTCAGTGTATGTCTGTGATTTTACGCTTGATGATCACAGTCCAACCTGCACTTACTTCTGAAAACAGAAAATCCCTACGACGATGGCGACAGACACCAAATCTGAAGAGATCCAGATGAAGCCGTAAGCGTACTGGCTCTGCAATACAAGACAAGAAAAGTAGTTCCCAGTCAGCACCACTGGAGGTCACCATCAACACACACGCATTCCTGAAGCTAACTGACTACAGCAAAAGCATGTAGGGCACTTGTTATATACAGTCTATGGTTGGACAGCTGTTCTTCGGTTCAGGTCCGTCCTCTGGTCTCAGACTCTTTCCCAGGGTTCTGTTGTTGTCTAACTCCACGCTGAGCTCCCTCATATTTCTCTCCCTCAAGTCTTGCTGGGCCCACGTCAGTCTCTGTCCTCTCCTGCTGTCCTCTTGTCTCGCTGTGTGACCTTTTCTGTCTGGGTGTGTGTTGTGTGTGTGTGTGTGTAAGAGAGAAAGAGGGGAGAGCAGTTTACCATGAGCCAGATGGGGTAAGGCACCTTTCGGAGGACTTGAGGGGCATCAGAGGACACAGAAGGCACCCCACTACACCACAGAATGGAGTAGAGCCAGGGCTCGTTCACTGGGTACACGGTCACACTCACATTATTGGTCAGATACTCCCTGAGAGAAAGGAAAATACATGTGGGAGCTGGAAATAAAGATCCGCCCCCCCATTGTCACAACACCCTGCTCTTACTTTGTGGTCAACAAAAACTATTGCAACCTCAAATCCTTTCAAATGTGACTGCTGACACTGATCTTAGTTACAGTCCAACTCTTGCTTAGTATGAAGAAAGAACATTCAGGAGGAATGTCAAGAGTCAGGAAGTTCCAACATATTTAATTATATTATAAAAGTGATTAAGAGAATCTGACGTGAAAACTAAATAGTGTTTCTACAGCAGCGACAGTAAAGTCACCATCAACTCAATAATGAGACTGGAGACAAATCTAACATGTCGGTCAAATAAATAATATTCCTGAGTAACGTATAGAGAAGAACACAGACATTAGACAGTAACAATCCTCCTGTCTGTCCTCTGTCCTCCTCTCTTTGTCCTCCTTTCTGTCGACCTCCTTGTCCTTTGTCCTACAGTCTGACCTCTGTCCTTCTCCCTCTGTCCTCCTTACTGTTCACTGTTATCCTCCCTGTCCTCCGTCATCCAGTCTGACCTCTGTCCTTCTCCCTCTGTCCTCTGTCCTCCTCTCTCTGCTGCTGCTGTGGTTCACTATCTGCAGGGGGCAGCAGGTTGTCTCAGGCAGTAGATAAGTATATACGAATTTAATAGATTTACTCAGATTTAAGGCTGACGGGTTTAACCAGCATGTTGTGGTTGTGTAAAACACTATGAGAGACAAAACCCAGGCTGCACTAATGAGAGTCTAGAGGACGTGAAGCTTCCCTAAGATGATCATGGAATCTTACTGATTGTTTTAAGTATACAAACATTAACAGGCTGTAATAGCCAATGAGTGGGTCAGGTTTTTTAATATATACACACACACACACGCATCCTTCAAATATGGACAGTAAACATTCATTAAGTCACCCTTCCATATTCTGTGTTTTCAGCCTGATGCATCATAAAATAAAAGGGGCTCTCAGAGACTGTACACCTCTGCCAAGGCCCAACAGTCCCCTTACTAAATTACACTACAACTGGCTTTTCATTTGGATCTGCACCAAATGACACACACTCATGAACATCAGTCCTAAAAATGTTGAAAAATGTCCTCTGCTGCAATTTTAAAGAAAGTGAAAAAGAAAACCTGGATCTGCCCCCTGATTTGGACGGTGGATTTTATCCTGACCTGTACCAACTTTCTTGTGCTGGTTTGTCCTTTAGTTTTTGCTTAATCCTGCTGACTGACTAAATGACTAACTAACTAACTAACTAACTAAGTGACTAATGGATGTTTATTGACAGCCACAACATAAGAGGTGGAAGGGGACCTGTGATCACAATGGCGAAGTCCAAAATCAATCACTAATCACTATATAGTCCACGAGAGAGAGTTTAGTGTTGTCCAAATCTTTAGTGAAATGTATCATACCCTTTGTAGTGCACTCATTGTCTCCCACAAAGCATTGCGAAAAGTAGAGTTCAGCTGATGGTCACATACCGAGCAACATATACCATCGTGCATTGCACTTTCGGTGGAGAGACAAGAGGAAAGAGAGCAGCTGGAGCAGCCTAACATCAGTCCTGTCACACAAATGTTAATACGAGCAAAGCAGCACAAGCAGCACTGCGGCTACCGACTTTATTTCTACATTTAAATATTCAACATGTTTTTACCTTAAAGTATTAAAGGTTCAGTGTGTAGAACTTAGTGACATCTAGAGGTGAAGTTGCACGTTGCCGCTGAATACTCCTCATTTCACCCTTCCGGCCTACGTTATTGTTGTTGTACGTCATAATCCTTCGACAATAACATATTCCCCAACCCCCCCCACCTTTTACATCTTTGAACTTGTAGTCTTGAATTGATGTTGTTCACCCCCTCAAATTTCCACACACAGATTATTGGCTATTTTCAGTTACACTCAGCCAGGTGAAGACCAAGTCAATGCTTTACATGGAAGACATTTTGAATGGCTGTAGTAGACTTATAATTACTTAAAGAGTAAACACCTATGTAAACTTCATGAGAGAAGTCAAAGTGACATCAGATTATTTCATCAGATCATGCTCTGTCTCCTCTCCTTTATTTCTAGCAGTGGCTGCTTGCTCTTACTGTATGTCTCTGTGGCTGGCCTGGCTATAGTGGAGGGTCAAGCTAGTGATTCCCCTCTGCCTTATCTCCTCCACAGACAGCTTCTCAGTTGTGGTCTGCTGAAGCCCTCGCACCCTCCCCCTGTCGGTGTCGGGGGTCCACGTCACCTGGCAGGAAAACATAAGACGTGGAAAGACGCTGCTCAGACAGAATCCACTGTGTGCTTCATATTTAGCAGAATTGTGCAGTGCAAAGGTGTTCCTTGTAGGATTTAAAATATCAACAAGAAAAATTGTCCTTGCAGCAGTTTTCAGCTGAAACATCAGTGCCCTCTGACTGTTTTGAGTCATAAAGCAGTTTTCTACATAATTCCTTCTGGCAATCTGCTCAGTAACTGTTGTTTATACATGATTTCTTAAGGTTGGAGTTCTACAAGCAGCACCTTTAATTTATCAAAGGATGATTAAGGAGAGACCTACAGTCCTCACCCGCTTCTGGGAAATCCCTGCTTTCTGCACGGCCCACAGCGTGTCCATGAACCAGCTCCGGGAGCGCGGGTGCTCTGGTGGAGGTTTGCGGACGTTGAGCAGTGCAGAGCTGTTGGCCCTGGCTGCCAGACGCAGCATCTCCACCAGGCTGCAAACAGTCTGGTTGCCTATTCTGCTGCGGTCCCTCGCTGTCAGGGTCTCAACTGTCCAGTAGGGGTCAGTCTGGAAGCAGAGGAAAGCCACAGAGAAAAAGACACTGAGGTAAAATGGCTTTTAACTTAAACCATGTTCTGTAGTGAGTGATGCAAACAGCCGCAGTAGGAGTAAATATGTACAGCCAATGTATTTTACAAAGACAGCACATTTATGTTTTTCATTCAACAAATCAATGTCAATATTACATTTTTATATTGTTCGTGTTTACATTTCCCCTTTTTCTTTCTCACGTCACAATTTTAACCAAAAATAAAAGACTTCTTTTACATATTCATTTCCAAAGCAAACATTCAGTTTGGAGTCTGTTTCATCTTTTATGACTTTATATCTAAATTTACCCACTGACCCCTTGAACTAATATTTCATGACTGCAAATTATTGTCAGTTTTAATTCCTTGGAAAATCAAATTCATTCATATAACACTTATTATATTATTTATTATACAGGTTAATGTTTACTACATTTGATACTCTCTGCCATCATGTTTTAGACAATTTCAACTCTATTCAAAACAAAATATGTTGGATGATGTGTAAGGGACAAAGTAACTTTATAGCTGTGGTGCTTTAACAATATGAATGTGAGCTGAGGTGGGGTGGATTGTTCAGTACCTCCAAATACCACTGGCCCGCATTTAGAGAGCGAATCTCTGTCCAGTTGAAAAGAGAGGCATCATCAAACTGTCTGGCTGGAAAGACCTTATTGACGTCGGTGGTTCGCCTGAACGTGCGGTCTCGCATGAGGAACGGAACTCCATCCACGCTGAGGGGAAACAGGGGTCAGAAAATGTTTTACTTTAAAATCACTTATTCTGTCTCATTACAACTAACAACACATGGGACTTTGGAGCACACATTATCCATTTAATGTGAATAAATGACTCAGAAATAAAATGTTACTAATGTGTAATCAATAACCTGATAGCGACGTCGGCCTCCAGGGAGCTGGCTCCATAATGCAGGGCTCGGTTAAAAGACACCATGGTGTTTTCTGGAGCCAGCTGGAGCAAAGAGAGGACACACGGGAGGAGTGTGTAGAAAAACACACATCAATGGGCCGTGATAGAATTATAATATGTAAATGGAGGAACATGATTTGTTGACATCACAGATTGAAATGATTACAAAGTGAAACCAGAAAGGGGAAATAACCCAGTCCTTTATCATGCACATAAAAACATTGTGAATTTGTTATTATAATGGTTTTCAATACAATTATATAAACATTTGTTACAATCATAGTCACAGCAAAAATGAGAATAGGGTTAAAAATCGTTCTGATATTGATCTCCATTGTGTGTGTGTGTACGTGCACTCTGAACATCACTCTACATTTGTTCACAGCTAGTCATCAGGAATTTGCTTGGCCAGCTGTGAAATGAAAGTTCAATGTGTTGTTGTCTGTCGAGCTGTGTGAGTAACACAACAGGCTCATTCTGCTGTGGAGCTATAGCACAGAGTCAGATACATATTCAAACCTTAGTACACAAACTGTTGTCATGCATGTTCTTATAAAATCATCAAATCACCCTCATCAAATTATTTCAACATCATTTTCACACTTTATTCCACTTCTCCAGAGCATGAGGGACATGCACACCTGACCGGCTGCAGCAGTGTCCTCCCCGCAGAGCTGTACGCCATCCATCTGAACAGTTAAGTGGATCAGACAGTGAGGTCTGGCAAAGCGCCAACTCACCATAGGAGCTCCCCGTCGACCGATGATGTCTGGCCGAGGTTTGAGGCTGTGGCGGTCCATGATGCAGGGGCAGGTGAATGTGAGCGGTGCTAAACAGACAGCCAGCAGGACGATGACGTAGATCAGCAGCACCAGTATCTGGAAATCTAAGAGGGAGGAAGAAGAGGGTTTTTAGAGTCACTTCATTCTTTATTCTTCTGCTCATCTCATCTACATATTGTGAAGAAAAAAAAAAAGGTTTTTAGTAGAAGTCTGTTTAATTTGCTAATGGTGGAAAATTTGGACGATGGCAGGAAATCTCAGGAAAAACTTTTTAGCATTGGTGTGAAATATCTTCGTATGTAACTCAAATATTTATACATGATGGAACATTCTACTGGAGATGATGTAATGAAATACATTTGTCAATCATCTATTTTGAAAAACATCAGACAAGAAAGAATTGACATTATTAAAAACAACAGTGACTAAAACTATGCACTATATTGTTGATAATAAAGGTTTAAGTCTAAAATAAAATAATAAACTCACTCTCTATATTTGTATAACATACATAAATCTCTTTTTTGCAACTGTACAAGTACCACCAACCATGCGAGTCTGTACCAAACTACTGTACGCATGATGTGGAAGGTTAGGAAACATTTACTTCTGGTTTGACCTGCTTGTAGTAACTTTTTTTGCAACTTATTTAAAATTAAATCATAATAAAGATCTGTCTCCCTTATGTGGAAATGGAAAAGAGACATTTTGCATCATGGAAACTTTTCGAAATAGCAGCATTGACTTACTGGATCTCTCTCTGCGGACCACATACCCAGCTACCAACCAGCTGATAGCTGTGACTGTCACCAGGGCGCCAATGTGCAGGAACGGTGCTGTGGACTGGAAACAAAACACAATACGTTTGTGAAATGATGCTTATTTATTACAGACAACAGAGAGTAACTTTGAAGACATTCTCATAATCAACATATCTCAAAAATACGGTGACGATCAGAGGAAACCGAGAAAATATGATTTTTCTGTCTCCCAAAAAAAAACGAATACATGAATCAAACTAACTTTTTCATTAATACCATGTTGCTGATTCACATCCAAAGATTTTATCGCCATAGTTACAGGACAAGGCATAACATTGTAAATACACCCTGCAGACATTGTTGCCATATCATGTCATTAACATGTGAAAGGTTTAAGTGTAGACAGAGTTTAAACGACTGGAAAAGAAACAGTCTGAAATTTTGATGAGAGAGGATTCATCTGCTCAATTAACCTTTGCTGAGAGATTTAATACAAATTATCCAAATTATTACATGCTTTGCTGCTGAAATCCCATTATCTCCACCTGATCATCCCACCTTAAATCTCTTATTTAAAAGCTTTATTATAGACTCTTTCAAAATGTACAGTTGCAAATGAGTGCCCCTATGCAGCTACCCGTCACTGTTATATATGTAATTTTAGTCAACAAACGAAATAAGCAAAAGCATAAACGCAAAATGAAGACGTGCAGCGGGATTATGGCCGTCTCATTTTGATTCTACACCAACCTGCAGTGACACAAGCAGGATGTCCCACTCATCTCCCCATATGTCATCAACGGACACGACACCAGAGATAGTGGTGAGCAATGTGGCCAACACTCCGATCTGTGGAGATGAGACGCACATTTATGAAGTCAAGGTTTTGATTCAAAACTGTGTCTGTGGAGCAAATTCACATCAACAGCGTAAGATGGAAATCACAGCACCTTGTGCACCCAGAAGAGATTCAGCTGTTGGCCCAAGGATATGTGGAAAAGAGCTAATATCTGAAAAAAAGAACCAATTTTCAGTAAAAGGTACCTTAACTGATCAATAATCAGTTCTGCTGACATTTTGGGATTAGTTACCAGTAAGAATGTAATGTAGCTGAATCCCACAGTGGTGGACGCGAGGATGGGGATCGTCTCATCCCTCCATTCTCCAGAGCGGTTGTAAACTGACCTGTGGACAGAACAGAGATGACTGATCTGTGCTGGTGTCACAGAGAAACTTCGCCTTGTTTGTCTGGTTCCATCCTCATCCAACATGCTGGTGATACACACAGAGGAGAACCGACTCACCAGTTAAACTCGTTGAAATCATTTTGAGCCACCAACCAGAAGTAGGCCCAAAAGAGAAGCAGGAGGAAAGAACTGCACAAGATGATGAACCAAGTACACTCCCACTGTGAAGGAAACCACAAAGGACAGTTGAATTTGAGTTTCCTCCTGAATGACGCATCAGGGAGGAACGAAGCTCTGAGAAAAAAACAAACAGCTATAATCAATATTGTCATGTCAACAATGGATCAAGTTATTATGTGTTGGTTGTAGCGACACAACCAAGTGATAATTATCATCTGACTCTGAGGATCCCCTCAGGACAAAGGATCCACACAGCAGTTTTCATCTCATTGTTTTATGTTGTGTTATTTTTGATGGCCAATTAATGAATCTAAAATATCCTCACTGCCATCTTGTGCAGCAGCGATTGTGGGATGAGGCCTCGGCAGCGAGGTCGATACACACGTCAATCACAAGTCTCAACTGTCAATCATGATGTTACGGTATTAAATCATCAATTAAACCTTAACCTTGAACATACATGCAATCATTTGTCCATATTAGTGCATGTCTCCTGACAGCTTATGGACATGCTCGAAACCAACACAGAGCAGTGCCACTGGAAATCTAGGGGGGGGGAGCAGCCATTAGTTTACGTGAGATGACCACAGGACATGAGGAAGACAATTCAACAATGGCACGTTTTTGGAGAGAGACTTTAAGAGCTGTTAAAAACTACAGGCATACACAGCTGCTACATTAGCACAGCCTCCTTCCCTGTCGCCATGATTGTTGTAACAAACTGTGGACTCTGCACTGCCCTAACAACCGTGCCATTGAAAGAACACATGGAAGTATGGCTATAAAATGTGATTGAAAATAAACAGTGATTGTTACATCGTTTGAAAAGGACGTATCTCATTTCATACGTAAAAGCAGCATAAATGCACCTTTAAATGGAGGAGGCTGGATTCATGACGTATACTGCAGCCAGCCACCAGGTATCCTCTGATATCTTACAATCCAGACATAAGAGTACCGTGACCATCATATGAACCACTTGGTCGGAGAGAAGACTCAAAACGTATGATTATGATTCTCCCCCTCTGCTGGCTGAGAGTAACTTTCATCTTGCTCACACTATGAACTAAATCAATTTAGTCAATTAATTAATTCCAAGGTTGCCGGGCTTTTATAGTTAGTGTCACAACCAACTATAATAGCTTAGCCTAACTTCCACTAGAAACTTAACTGACTGTATTAATCGGCACTCAAAAGTCTTTGTTATTTTTATTTTTCATTCTTTACTTTTACTTTTACCATCACTTGTTATGGGTTTGGGTCTTGTTTTACTTGTTGCACTGGGTTTCAAGTGGTCTTGGTTTACTTTAATTTGCTATACAAATAAAGTTATTATCAATGTGAGGCCCACTGGGAGCTACAGTGGTTAAAGGAGTCAATTTCGTAACAAAGTCAAAACATATTTCAAAAAGAACTTTATTTAACCCCTTACTTTCGGGCCTTCTGTCTTCAAATATGGGGCAAAGGTATGGAGGAGGACTTGTGCAGCTCTCAAGGACTCTTCCATCAGTAGTTAACAGGATTAGCTGCTAGTGCCATGCGAGGGGAGGTGTAGAATATGATAGGCCAGTCAACAGATCCTTTGAACACTGATCAGCTTTGCACAACACTGTGCCTGGACTAACCTCTACCACTGGCTTATATAAGAGGCTGGGAGATCATTGTGTGCAAGTGTAGAGCAAATGGCCGCGCTGATCGAGCTGTGGTCTCAAGCTTGTGAAGGGTCCATCTGTTAGTCAGGAGAGGAGAGTGGATGCAAACGTATGATTTAAATGAAAGAGTGACACAGTCAGCAAAATATGACAGTGTATGACGACTTTGAGGGGCTGATTTTAATTGGTTTAGCACCTGGCCGTCAGGTGACTGGTACTTGACTATGAGGCACTGAGCCAGAGTCACGTTGTCCATTCAGCTCATGATAACAAACAGTCGGGGGAATATCATCAGTGAAGTCGTCACAGATGCACTGATGTTACCACGACGGCCTTTCTGTGCAAATCCATACCATTATATAAACACTCGAATGCTGTACTTCAAAATGTGATTCGTCCCTGGTCAATATTTCTATCCTGGTATCTTCTCAAGCTCTGGTGGGCTTGAACTTAAAAAAGTATCTGCACCATGTGATGCAATGAGTACCTGTGTGAATGAACATTTACAAATCTTTGTTGTCTGTTCTTCGTGTCTTCTTTGAGAGTTCTTGTTTGGTGGATTAGGATTCCAGTTTCAGAGGGAGGGTCACCATGCAGCGGGTCACATGGAGGCTGTGACTAACAGGTGAAGTAATCCCCAGCTGAGAAAATCTCCTTGGTGAAGAAAATGGTGACGAAGAGAAGCTCTGTCCTCAGCAACTACTGTCAAAGTTCACATTAGCATGACAGTAAGTAAGATCAGTGCTCAGCTGCTCCTGTGGGAGAGTCCTCTCTGCATCCACCAGCACAGTAACTCTACATGCGACTATGGACAGTACAGACAGGGAATGTTGGGAATACTTCAAATTAGGAGACTGGCATAAAAACAGACATGTTTCATAATGTCATATATATCATTCATTCATTCATCCACACCACATTTTCCAGCCTTTAGCAGGCAACTGACCGTGTGCTGAACGCTTTCTTTTCAGAGATTTATATGTAGCTTTATATATTTATATAGATATAGAAATGTATAGATTTCTGACACTTTCTCCTGAGAGCTACAGGGTCCATCCGTCTTTCCAGCCAGAACTGCTGGTACCAGGCCTCTGACAGGGCTCATAAATCCTGATCTATGTGCTGACCTCACCACCCGACCACCCTCTGCTGATAAATACCACACAGAATGGCCTGTGTTGGACAAGGGCAGTGTCAGCTGAACTAAAACAAAGCAAATACACATTTGTCTGTATTCAGGATTAAAATACAGACAAATTAACAAATGATCATTAATGCAGAATATATAATGTGGATAGTGGACATACAGTGTCATTTTTCAAAAAATGTGCAGTGGTTGAACAAAGTGGAACTGAAGAAGAGAATTCAACCACTGACTGTTGCACTTGAACCATACTGGTGGTTCACGAGAGTGCAACAATCACCTGAACCCTCTGCAGTCATGTTGCAGATTATATGTTATATATGAATCATTAAAATGAAATTAATAAATTGATTTCGAAAAACACAAAATAGTCAGTTAACTGCAATTAGTAGAACAAATACCTCATCCATGAAGATCCATTAACTATCCCCTGGGAAATCAGTGACAACTTTAAAGACCAATGTTAAAGAATATTTTGGGCTCTTCTCTGAGCCATAACACATCCTGCAGCCAAATTCTGTTGTAACCTGCCCCATAGGTTTTGTGTAGCTGAACAACAAACAACAATACAGTGCATGTTTGACCACCTCTGGTGCTATGGAACTGTTAATCTGCTAAATGCTCCACTATTCATCAGCCAGCCGCTACATTAACTTTGTGTGTCTGCTGCTCGTCAGGTAGTGTACGGTCATTAGAGCTTTTATCCTCACAATGGCTCATGCCTGCTGCAGCATGAGGAAGGCTAGTTGATGAAAAGGCAATGAGAGCGAACCACAACATTCAAGTGGCAAGTTCTACAACCATAACGAGGGAGCTCATCACATCAAACACAGACATGTTATTCAGTGTTAATACTGAAAGATTGATTACTTCAGCTTTAAAAGGGCATACACACCAATGTATGCCACCAATTTTTCCTGCAGTAAAGTAATACTGCTGTGGACCATGAGGCAGAGTTACCAATGCACACAGAAGCAGAGGTTCTGAACTGATGATTTCTAGAGAACACTGAGCCTGAAACACAGTTCAGTGGAAGCATTGAGGCTTAAATTCAGCCTGGATTAAAACAATGACTGTCTGTGATAAAATCATTCACACATCACAGCACAGTGCTGCTGCAGCAGTAGCAACTGACATGACCTGACATGAACTGACAGACAGACTGAGAGACTGATGGAGAGACAGACAGACGGATAGATGGATAGATAGAAATATGGATAGATGGGTAGATTACTGTGTGTTTGTGTTTCTTCCTCTTGGTCAGCACATTCACAGTGCTCGATTCACACATTTTGTAAATGGAGTCATTTATGGCCTTGTGATAAATCGTCCAGCAGCAGGAGCTGCGTCTGTCTGCTCAGTGTGTATCCAACACAGCTGGGTGTCTGGATCTGCTTTACACATCCAAACACTGCTCTGATTCTGCTGCTCGCTTTATTGTAAGGATCGCTTTCCACAGTTACTAGGGCCTGGTCAAGAAGCCCCTTAGGAATGTAAGAGGGAAAAAATTGGAAAGATATCAATGTCTCTAATGGATTTTTTGTTTTTGAAACATTTTAAATGGAATTTAAAACCTTGAATGAATGAAGCAACAAGTTCAATACTAACACCGACCAAAGCTTTCATCAGTTTTTAGTTACATATGATAACTATAATGCTTAAACCAAACTTCAATCCTGCACAACATTGTCTCAAACTCTTATTATGAGAACAGACTTTTTGAATGAACAGTAATTTATTTTCAAGTTTTTAAAAGGTAAGTGGTATCTTAAATATTTCCATTTGGGCTGTTACAGGAGCCTATAAGCGCTATGACTTCTACCATGTAAGACAGTGACATCGCTTCTTTGAAATCTTCATGGCATTTATTAAACTGCCCAGAAATGAGTCAAAACACTTTCAACATCAAAATAACGTGGTCAAAGGAATGGTACTCAATACAGTGCAACAGTCTCCCTATGATACTGCATGGAAATTCACTAGATCCAGATTTCACACACTCATAATATCAGTCCCCTAAACTTGTCTAATTTGTTTCATGAAGATTTATTAATTATTCTCTGAGAAATCAATGAAAATGTTGAAAACGCAAATCTCGCTATGTTAAGGAAAGCGATGAAAAATTCCTGGATCTGCACAAAGATTGGATGATTTCTTTCCTGATCCATCCAGCCATCGTTCCGCCAAGCTTTGTGGTGATCTGTGCAGTAGTTTCTATGTAATCTACTTACAAAACGGCACCAAGAGAATGAACTAAAGGAAAATACAATGTGCAGTGCAGGAGCCTGTATCAAAGCCACAATCAAAATAAGTGTAAGTACAGTGTGCTGCACGTGTGTTTGCTGCTGTGTAGTTTTCTGTTGCCATTCACAGAGCCTGACCTACTCGTTTGGCCCTTAGAACCACAGAATGAAAAAACAGTCCACTTATCCCTGAGGTGTGGTCAGGTTTCGGTGCAGCCTCCGCAGGACTGTGTGGTCTCATTATCAGGCTGTTTTGTTCTGCTCTTCACAATATACAGAACACTGAGCCAATCGACACACACACTTAACTCAATCAAGTGTTTCTTCATGTAAACGCTTGTATTTGGAGTGAGAAAAACATTAACCTGATTCAACAGAAGTTTTGGTACTAAAGGTATGCAACCTGTTTAGTCTATTACAAATAACTCCAGTAGTGCACTATTAGGTAAAAGGTTTACTAAACAAATACTTTTCCAAAGAGACGTTTCTGGTTGTTATCACAATATACGTAGATACTCAGAGGCGTTATCTTACCCTGGAGCTGTCGTCTTGGGAACGCTGGTAGCGTTTCCAGCGGCAACCATAGATCCCAGTGACAAAGGACACAAAGACCTGCTTCTCATAGACCTGTAAGGGTTGGTGTTTCACCATGCTCCTTCAGCCTCAACGCACCACCAGTCCGTTAACATCCCACACAGGACCGGGAATCCTGCGGAGAGGTAGAAGAGGTGTTACTGTAACAAAAATAAACACAGTGTCTGTCCATACAATTACATTTCTCATCAACATGTTGTGTCACGTCATGTTGCTGAGGTATATTTTCACACTGCAGCCCTGAGCCTTGCTTAGACTGACAACACCACTGAAAGCAAGTCAACAACGTATTAGTGATTAATGTCTGGGACACATAATATTATGGTGTATTCTTTACAGTCGCTAGGTCAGCCCTGAGCCATCTATGGCTCGTTTCACGTACTTGAGCCACACGGCTGCTCCTTGAATCTGCTGTCTGTTGTTCACACAGGCAGCGTGTCTGCAGCAGAGATGCTTTGTGAGGTTTCTGGGATGTTCGCTGTAGTTCCTTGGATAAAAATACAGCTATACACGCAACTAAATGCCAGGAAAGTACGCTATGAAACCGGTCCTGTGACGACACTAAAGGTGTAGTGAAAACAAAACCAAGGTTTTAAAAAAAGAAACTGTAAAAATGCTAGAGTTCTTTTACTTTGAAAGGGGTACAGGAAGCGTTGCAACTATTTCTGTTTTTACATATTTAACTGATAAATGTTAAAACTGTGGTAAAAGATCTTTTTCCTTATAAATGTGCAGTACTCAGAGAAAAAAGACGAGACCTCCATTCAAAAGATGGAAAAAGTGGAGCAAAGAGTCTATTACTGATAGGCTGGTGAATATTTCATGCTGTTACATATTTTAAATGTAATTAAAGTTACTTTATTTAGTGGAATATATTGTTTTTTAATGGCTGCATCTGAGCCACTCCTGCAGGGATTGACTTTTATCTTGTTCTGTATTTATCACTGTGCCTATTTGTACCATTCACAACTTATCTTACAACCTAGTTTGGAAGATGCATATCATACTGCATAGAATTTTTTTTTGTTTTATTTTATTTTGGAATATCATTTTTATTTTAGAATGTCCTTATCTTGTGTAAATGAGATTAACATTTTGAAGTTAAATTCAGTTTGTTTTGGAAACTGAATGCATGTGCACACACAATGCAGTCATGCATCCAAGCCTTTCCTATGAGGATTCAATGATGGTTATTTCCTGATGTTTGAAAGCAATTTTGGCATTTGCCTCGTTTTGAACATGACACTTCATGATCACAATCAATGTGCACTTTACATTGTTATTAACTCTTAATATACTGTTTGAACGCAATACATTCAATTTACTCACTACTTGAGTAGTTTTTTTACTCTTACTCAATAACTTTTTTATCAGAACTTTTATTCCTACTTGATTGTAATCATTATCACAACTTGTCATTATAATTATAAAGTAGCAATAGTTTAACTTGAGTACCGTTTGTTTACTCTACCCACCACTGCAAATAGGCATTTGTAGTTAGGTGTATGGGTATGACTGGAGATTGTCAATAACAAACTGCTTATACTCTCAGTCTCACTGGTGCCAAAGAGAAAAGCTTGTTGCCTTGGTGGCAGGTGAAAATGTCTTGGCACAGTAGGTGGAAAAACTCGCTGCTCTGCCTTGTCTCTTTTTCCTGGTTCCAATATTTTTCACTTTTCTAAATCTGGAGTATTTTATAGGACATAAATATGAAATCATTTCAGTTAATGTAACCTACAGAAATGTGCGTGTTGTTTAAATGTCGAAAGAAAAAAAAAGTCGGAGCATGTGACCTTCCAGGCCTTTGTGTTCAGACACTCCTGGGCAGTCCTTCAGAAAGTGTTGACTCTTAAAAATGATAATGTTTTTTTTTGCTTGTTTTATGGTGTGGCTTAATGGATATTAGTCTTTTATCCAGAATGAAAAATCCCAACAATCATGGGTTGTTATGAAATCATGCATGGACATCTGTGATCCACAGAGGACTAATGTATGATTCTGGCATTTCAGATTGATTGTCTTCAAAATAAATAAATGAATTATTTATCATAGTTTAAAGAATTAATTCATCAAAACTAGAAAAGCATTTAGAGGAGCACAAACCTGCAACAGTCCGATTAAATGCAATCAAGCTGCACCAAATTGTACCTACTAGACAGTCCCATAAATATTGGTGAATTTTTCCATTAAGATCCTTGAATTATTCTCTGGGAAATTGGTGAAAATGTCAAAAAAAAAGTAATAAATAACACCAGAATCTCAAAATGTTACGGAAAGTGATAAGACATTTCTGGATTTCTCTCCACCAGGTTTGGTGGAAACCATTCAGTTCATTTAATTCAGCAAGTTTTTGTGTTACCTATAAATCAACAGACAAAGGTGATAATATAACTTTGAGTGTTTTAAGTTTCAGGCTAAATACATGTATCACTACTGAAGTACTGAAGAAAATAAATGGATTGTACAAATAGCCTCCAAACCACCTGATTAATCCTCATCATCCGGATTCAGCCAGCAAACCAGCAGTACTATGTTTTCCTTTTGTTCCATATTTCAAGACTAATCTATTTGATTTTATTTCAAAAAAAGAATGAAGAGGATGAGCCGGAAAATGTTGGCCCAGTTTAACAGGCTTAAATCCCGAACCCTGAAATATTGAGTCGAATTGACTGACTTAGAGTAAACAGGCAGACAAATGGACCTAAGATCACCTCTTCTGTTATCTGAACCAAAGTCAAAATTGGAGCTGGAAAGAGAGCACGAGGTCGCTCACCCCGCCGGCTGATGTCAAGGCTGGCAGCAGCACTGTCGCCATCAGAGTGATTTTGTTGATGACTTGGAAAAGCCTCTGAGGGGAAGCTTCAAGTGTCACCACTCGCACTCGCCTGCCCCCCCGCAGGCAGCCTTTATACCACATGACAAGAAAAGGTGGCTGAAGCTACATCTTTGATGCAGCAGTCAAAGCCACAGCATTAAAGCACTGTGTCCAAAAAACAAGGCCTCCTCCAAATCCAGGAGAGCACTATGTACGTACAGCAGGGGTGGAACTGCAGAGGTGCAATTTAAAAAGCTCACTCTCATCCTCACAGCATTTCTGAAAACATTTGGTGCTGTTGACCCCACAGTAACCACCATGACCATGGCTAATCCCCTGCTACAACCCTAGAGCACGAGGTTTTCTAAAATACTATCAGACTTAACATTGAAAACAAAGCTCAGCTGAAATCAAATGTTTGCCATTTTATTGCTTAACCTCTACGAAAGGCAATTTCCTAGGCAGATAAAGGTGTATTAAGGCGTGTTTCCAAGTGAACGGTCCCCAACAAAACAAACTGCTCCTTTGTCCTTATCTCCGAGCGGAAAAATTACAACATGAAGGTGGGGGCCAAATGTGTGTCTGTCTGTACTAACTCAGTTTCCATGTGACTCAAAGATTTTTTTTTAGAAATCAAAGGGTAAACACTGGAACAAACCTTAATTTGCCACGCAGATGTCAGCTGTTTTGCCTTTGAAACCTTTAAGGATTCAAAGAAATCATTCAATTCTATCCAATAATGACATTGACAATCTGTGCCAATGGTCATGGAAACCCACCAAGCACACATGTCTTAAGGTGGCACTTTAGAAATCAGAGGGTCACTGAAGTAATCCATCAAATAAATATTTCTGGACCAAAGTGGTTGACTGGTAAACTAAACTGCCAGACCACCATAGCCATCTCAGAAATTGAGCCACATGCTGCCAACAAATGGGCAATGAATAAAAGTGAATTTGTTATTTGCAGGAGAAAATGAAATAATAGATGCAGTGCTTGCAAACTTCTATTTCCTAATCATCAGTAGGTGGTCCAGGATGCATGTGGCCACATTCTGTTAGCTTTGGAATGCAAGTGCATCCTGGTCCACATTAAAGAACCACCTACTTAGCTGACAACCGCTGCAATTCCCAATGACCTTAAGTATTTTTTAATTCCTCAGTGTTTTTAATAACATTCATTTACTTGTGGCCACTGACACAATATCAACACGACGACACACAGAGAGATCATACCTTTGCTAAGGCTAATGTCTGATCCTGCTATGTTAAAGAAAGTAAAAATAAAAAGGCCCTAATCAAATCCGTTCCAAAAACTCAGTGGGTTCTCACTTCCAGAATTAATTGGGTCGTTTTAGCGTGATCCTCTCCAGACAAACAAAAAGCAATGAAAACAGAACCTCCTGGTCGATGTAAATAACTGCCAGATATAGATTTTCTTCTCTTTTCTATTATATTACTAGGTCATTAAGGATATCATGGTAAATTCCCCAAAGGGTATTAAAGACTTACTTAAGACATCCTACAGCGACTAGCCTGAAGATACATGCATGTGTGTATCTTGGCAGCAAAACGTTTTGATGAACGTGAACATTCTCCCAGAAAATCTTCAGAACAAAATCAATCATATAGTTGTTTACTTTCATTGTCGTGAACTCTTATACATTCTCATTTGATGTTGCAGTACTTACACTACATCCTACATACATGTATTGTATTACCCATCATGTGTCCTGTTCAGGTTCTCTCAGGGGATAAGCCAGTGTTTGTTTAGGATTCTGTGCTAACCTTAATCTGTACAACAGTGTTCAAAAGGAGGAAGCTCGCAGGTCTTCATCCTTTCACTGTTGACTGATTATTACATGGAAACTCCCAGGCCTGAGGGAGCCTTCTGCTGCATTCAGAGGAGTTGGCAGATTCCCAGCATTCACATCCTGACCCTATCCTCAAACAAGGGCCAACTGGAGCTGAAATCACAGGGGCCTGATTCCAGCCAGGTTGGTCCATTGTCTCTGTGGCTTTTTCTACCACGTTGCTATTGCCTCAGGGCCAGTCATAACTCCACATTAAATCTGTATATACTCAAAGAACATAAATATGAAAAAGCCATCTTCTCATATTTGGTTTGTCTTGTCTGGTAACCAGGAACAGGACTAGAAAAAATGGACAGAGGCTGCTAATTTATGTGGATAAGATGTAATCCAGGTGCAGACAGGTGTTTGTGTCTGATATCACAGATGAATAGAGACTACGCTTGTCCCATTTATCCAGGCAAACATGGAACCATTACTGAAAGGAAAAGGTTTTCTTGGAACTCTATTCAATCAAGATGAATCTGTCATCATCGAGTACCATCCCTCTGAAGGAATGTCATCAACACACAATATTTACAGTATAACCACTGCGAGCGAAAGCATGCAGCCAATTCTGAGGATACTGCGCATAAGAGCTGTTAACGTCAATAAATGCCAGTGTTGATGAATCTCCATTTACCTGATATTTACACATCTTTTATTTTGCTGCAGTATGTGTGCTGTGGGATGAACCTGAAGTGTTGGCTGATTTGTAAATGTACCCACCAACTGTTGATTGGTCTCTAAGCAACGAGGCACTATTGTCTGTATTCATTTTTGATGTAAATTCCATTGTTTTGCTTACAAATCGTGCAAATGGTAAATTGCCTGTATTTATACAGAGCTTTCAAAATACAGATTTTTTTTCCCATTCACGCATTCACACACTGTCCAGCATTTTATCAACAAACCAATCACACACAGCCCTTATGAGGATCAAAGCTCCAACCCTCTGGTTAGTGGACGACCCGCTCTCACTCCTGAGCCCCAGCTGTCCCAGTACATCTTCACTGCTCATTTTAAATCTGTTCCTGGTGCATTTACAGCATTTACAAGCCCCTTGTAACACGGTGAAGAAGAGAGCTCTTAAGCGGTCACTTGAATCCACCTGTTCTCTGCCCCGGTTTCCATCGGTGTCTCACTGGGCTGGCTCCAGGCCAGTTTCCTCTCATGAACCTGCTGCCGTTTACCTGAGAGGACTTTACTACTCTCCTCACTCCCCTGCCAACTTCCAGCAGTAACCTGGTTTAGGTGCTGCCACCAAGCTAATGAGACTCCAGACGCCTCCATGTGTCAAAGTTGTCAGTGGAGTTAGAATCCTGCGCTCATTGAATAATAATACAATAATCCATTAAGTCTCACCCAACCAACTGCCACAGAGCCTCCGCCATATCAGGCTATTATTAGCCTTTTATCTCGGTCACTGTCGCCTCTTTCCAGGCTGCCATCATTCAGTCCTTCATGAAATATACATTTGCATGCATTAATAATATCCTTAATCTTTCAGTGGATTTAGCCAAAAATAGAGTTTCCATTAGTGCCACGGGCTCATTATCCACACAGAGGGAGGAGGTATGAGGGCACAGACCGGAAACAAAGCCGCCGTCGCAGCCAATGAGCTTTTGTCATCAGCCATGTGTCCGTGAGGCGGCCAGAAGACGCGACTCTCCTGCTAGTGAAAGTGAGAGCTGTTCTTAGGCCATGCACATCATCAGCCAAGCAGCACCAGTCAGCAGCGAGGCTGTCTCTGACTCATTAAAGATGATTTAAGTCAGACAGATAACCGAGGCGGTGCTGCAGGAGGACCCTGATACACAGAGAGATGACAGAGGACTGGTGGACAGACACTGTATGTCTGCTACTAATCAGATTTGTTGAGGACAAAAGGACAGAGCAATGTAATTAAAGCTTGATTCAGTTGCCTTGGAAAGTTGATGACGTCACCACTCACTCGCTCAAATGTATTTCCCTTCTTAAAAATAAAAAACAGAATGAATCAGCCTTTAGATACTTTCATAATGTATAAACTTTGTATAAGTTATACTTTCTTATATTTGAATATAACATTTAGTGAAGGAGACTAAATCCATCCATCCATCCGTCTAGCACTTATCATTTTGAGGGTGGTGAGAGGAGCTGGAGCCAATGACAACTTAATTACATGCAGTACACAAGAGCAACTTAACATTCTATTAGCAGCATGATTTACTGCCTCACTTCAGTTTACCATGGTCTCCATCAGCTAAATGTTGAGTGCATGATGGGAAATGGAATCGTAACAATCGTGTTGATCGTGGATTACGATTACAGTTGTAAGCACTGCTCCCCCTCATCTCTGTCAGACATTTTCTTCAGGATACATACTTCAGACATTGATCCACCTCTCCATCTATGTTAGACACTTTCTTCTCATCGATGTTGTAAATGTTGTTATTTACGATTCCACTACATGTAGCAGTTAATAGGTTTAATACATTATTTCAAATTATTTTTCACTTTTTACTAAGGGCAGAGGATTTCACACCTTGTTAGGCCTGTGAGGCAAACTGTGATTTGTGTATATGGGTTATACAAATAAAATTTGAGTGATTGAACTTAAATTTAAGGGATAGTTCACAGAAAAATGAAATTTCCCTCATTATCTACTCACCACTATGCCGATGGAGGGGTGGGTGACACCATACTGCTCGTGTGGTTTCATCCAAGTGTCCGTAAGCCCTGACATTAATATTCGACTTCAAACTGCGTCATCTACACCAAGCATTAAGCCTAAAAGTCCTCTGATATCTTCCAGTGAGAAGCAATCACAGACCCTGGGGCACACGTCCGCTAGCGTAGCCACGTCCACCGATTAAAACACGGTGTAAATGACCTCTTGAATCAAATGTGAAGGTCAGGGCTTGCTGACACTTGAATGACACTATACGAGCATTATGAAGGAATGTTACGGTTTTCCTGTTGTTTTATTACATCTGAAGTATTGGTCACCAGTTACTTCAATTGTATTGTATTGGGCTGCAACACTGTTTACCCTTAAAACTGCAAACATGTTTTGTGGACTCAACCACTTCACCAACCCCTCCATCAGCATAATGGTGAGTAGATGACGAGTGAATTTTCCTATTTCAGTGAACTATCCCTTTAAATTAAAATGAAAATTGCTCAATATATTAGCAAACAAACGATGAATCAACTGGTGAATACTTACAGCTGTTTTCCCTGAAACTACCAACTAAACCTCTTTAGTGTACTCCTACTCCTGCTTAACTAAGTAAATAACTTCTTACACTTGTATTAGTTTGATTTGATCCTATAATGTATATACAGACATGTGTATTTAGGCTTTCTATGTTTTTATTCTATACTTACACATAACAAGATAACACAATGATTCAGCTCAGTGATAAACTGTTGTGCACATCTCGACATTGACCTGACACCTGCAGAGTAACTCACACAACAATCGGTTCTGCAGCAAGTGTCACTGAAGCTGCTCTGGACACAAATGTAGTTTGTCTTACTTCATGGGACACATGCAGTTCATTCTGTCCAATTGTCTTCTGCATCGTCTCTATCAGCTAAACATCCATCTGCCAGCTCGTCTTGGAGAAAGTGTGGTGACACGAGACAGACGCAATGCTGCTGCTGAAAGCTCTGTGGTGAAATTGACCTTTGTGAATATGTGTGTCTGACTAAAAAAAAAAAACCACAGTGAGCACACAGCAACTCCAAACTTCACCCAAGTGATGGCACAGCAGCGCACGGAGTGACAGCTCCATGGATTAGGTTTGATGCAGATAATCCTGTAAAGTGCGCACAGACACTCACCTCCACCACAGACTGCTGTTCTCCTGTCTCCCAGCGTCGAGCTTCGCAGGTTATTCTCTTACTTCCACGGTTGTTGACATCATGTCGCTTCTTGAATGCAGGATCCACTGATGACAAGTCTGCAAAGTGACGTTCAGAGACACTGAGACGCGTCGGGACACATCGGCCGAGTGGTCCGCAGCGTGGACCGGAGGGGTACACGTTGTTCGACGCGCGTAAAGTGAAGTGGAGTTTGACTAAGTGAGAGGACGGTGTCTCTCAGAGGAAACTGGACCATCAGCTCTGGAGGAGACGAGTTAAAAAGTGTAATCCGTCACACACGGTGTGGGAGGAGCCGAGAGACACGCTGCAAGAAGTGTGCAGCTCTGAGCGGAGCCCTGAGAACCGAGCGTGTGGCTGACACCGCTGCTTCTTACAGTGTGCCCACTGACTGTCAGGTACATCAACCCGAGCAGCAGGAGGTCCAGTTAGACCAAGTCTTACTGCTCAGCTCACTGTTACTGATGCTGCTTTTGTTGAACTCAATGTGAAATGTCCCAGTAAATTAAGTTCAACCTTAAAGGCTCAGTGTGTAAGATTTACACGAAAGGGGTCTATTGGCAGAAGTCTAATGTAAAGTAATCCTAGTGGTGCTTTCACTACTGTGTTATCTACTAAATTATACAAATTGTTGTTTTCCTTTCCCTAGAACACTTTTTATTTAAATACTTTATATTTACATGAGGAGCAGGTCCTCTCTATGGAGGCCGCCATGTTTTTTTTTACATTAGTCCAGACTGGACAAACTAAACACCTTTTGAGTTTTTATGACAACTGAAGCTACCACAGGTTCTTTTTCATGTTTGGAAGGAGAGAGTGAGGTGAGGGGTGTTCAGCTGCAACATGCAGCTTCAACACTAGATATCCCTAAATTCTACACACTGAACCTTTAAACACGTTTAATTCCATATCAATCAGCTTTATTTTTCCATATGCAATGGTTTTTTTATTCGCAAACATTGTTTTTGCTTCCTAAATGTACCATTTACAACACAATTTAAATCTGTATTCATGTCACTCAATTTATTATTACAACAAAAATAGTATTAAGCTGGTGAATATCTTCAATGCTCATATTATATTATATTATATTATATCATCTTATATTATCGTCAGGACTCCATTGTTAATGTATTTTTTTTCTTCTGTGTTTTTTCTTAGAATGTTTCAGGAACTTTCTTGAAAATAAGACATGACTTCCTGACAGGGCTGTAAGATATCTTGTAAAATTTGGAAATTATCCAAACAAAGCTCTTATATTGTACATTTGGCATCATGGATGTTGTTATTTCAGTAGAATAAAAGATCTGAAACAGATGTGATAGATGTAGTGAGGGTGTGGAGTGGAAAGTTATCTGCAGTCATCTGTAGCTCTTCCTGTTTGCTGTCTCCAGACCTGTTGGTTACAGCCTTCAAACAACTGAGAGACATGTGTCGACAGAGTGTGGGCTTTAGGAGAGTGGATTAGAGAGTGAGGGCAAACTTTAGAGAAATGTCTTCATGCCCAGTGAGTTATAAGACGTTCTGAGAGGGTTAAGTTGAGCATGCTGCAGGTTCCAAGTGTGGGTGGAGATGTCAGGAAGGAGAGCTCAAAGGGGGATAAAAGAAAATACAGTAATTTAATTAAACCTCCCAGTGGGGTGGGTGGGTGAGGGACCTGAAGTTGCCAAGGAGGGAGGTTTGGTATTAGCTTCATCTAATAGGAAATTGTGGTTTGTCCAGGAATTTACCGAGCAGGTGCATGAGGGTGGGTGTTGAGGTTCGGAAAGGGAGGCTTTAGTACCCCACTGCGAGGGAGGGTTTCCACAGGGCAAACATGCGCTTGAGCAGTGATGGGAAAGAATATATCACAAATAAGATATTTCTTAAAGCATCCATGTGATTTTACAGAAGTGGGGTCTCAGAAAAGAGTTACATCTTAACTGTGTGTAAAGTTATCTCTCTGAAAGGTCAGTTATTGCCAGCCTCTTTGTCTACTCATACAAAGTTGAATTTGATGTTATACCCAGTAAAGAAAAATCTTCCTTTTAATAAAATAAAGATAAAGCAATTTTACATTTACCTTGTTGTCATTCGATTCTTGACACCAGCCTGTCATTTTAAATGGGTTTCATAACCTCACATGCTGAGAAATTGCTCTCAGCACATGGAGAAATATGGACTCGTCTCTACATGCTCTATATTCTCTCCACGTTAGAGCCACCAGACTGTTTCAGCAGTCAAACTCATTGTAGTAACGATTAAAACTACGTTTTATATCACTGCGGTGACCATGCATTGCCAACAACTGGCAAAGAGGCAGAGCAGATGAGTAGTGTTTCCTAAGAGAGCTATTCCAGGCCCAGCAGCCAGAGATTAACCCTTGGCCTGGGGTAATTTCGTCAGATCCCTTTAATCCTAAACAATTTAGCCGTGGCAGTGACGGTCCTACAATGACAAGTTCTCTTACAGATGCAATCTGTTGGACCTGTGATGCCTCGTCTAAAAGTGAGGACATATTTGAGGCAAATGTGGACACTAATCCAGAAAAGCACTTTGGTCAAATCTAATATTTGGCAGTGGAATTCCAGATCTGAATTTCTACAGTATATTGACTTAAAGTTTAATTTATCACAGTCTAATTAGAATAATTTAATTCCATTGTTTAAGTATTGTAACGATGATTGTTGTGGCAGTAACAGTAGCACCAGCACCATCATCAATAAAGGACAATTTTTCTCTATAACACTTTAACAGCCTCTAGTGGTCATTGGAATTATTATAAAGTTCCTATTTATTCCACCAGAGGGCTTCTGTACTCACTGGGCTGTTGGCCTCCTTGCTCCTGAAATCCAAATTTAGAGTTCATTAAAAAAATAATGTAATCTGATCTGAATCACTTTCTGAAAGAGTGAAAGCAAAAACCCACCTGTCACATTGTGTGACCACATAACTGTCTTTCTTTTTCCACAGAGATTAGCAGGATGTGGGAAGGGGAACCATTTTCATTGTTTTATTTCATCTGCCTTTTGTTTTTCAGTAATTCAGAGCTCAACCAAAAACTCCTCCTGGGTGATTCTGTGAGCCACCTGCAGCTCCTCACTATCTGTCTCGAGGAGTTTCTTCTGCATCTGCTTTATTCTCACTGGTGGAGGAGCATTTTATATGAGCACAAGTACAAATAAAGTTACAAAAAGTACTCTAGTAAATGGAAAAGTACTTTTATTTGAAAAGGATCAGTGGGCCTCTTTATTAAAAACAATGTGAAACAATGTGAAAATGTCACTAACGCATCGTGAAAATGAATTTTCTAACAGGCCAACTGTTGTCTTGTGAAAGTTGGATGCTCCAGTTTCGTTCCTGACAGATCTTAAAGGTCACTGCCTCAAAGTGCAGCAGTCTGAAAGTTCAACTACTCAGTGAAACATTTATAAAAGCCTGGATTCAAATCAACAAGTGCAACCTGGAATTCAGAGAATCCCTGTTTTAGATACAGTGAGAAGTTATATGATTATACATTTGGAATCTTATGTAATTTTACTGATTAGGTGAGTCTACACAGTATCTGCTTCATTTTTAATTCATCCATCACATGTCTGATGGAATAAACTTTCTGACAATCCACGTGTCGGCTCGATAAATATGACCTAAAGTACAGATTTACACTTCAAGTCTTTAACCAGTGACCCCTCTTTACTTCCTGGTTACAACCTGGTAAAGTATTAATGTTTTGTTTATATAATGTGCTTATCCATGGTGGTATGGTGATATAGAAATAAACTGTCTGCGTTAAATCAGATCACATGCAACAGTACAGCTTCATTGAAGACAGTCATGATTCTTTGGATTATGATAAAATATATATGTTTACAAGTATGATTGTTTTTTTCCCATCAGACTCTAAGTTCACACACCCGCAGCCGCACAGAAATAATAACAAGCTTTAGACAACAGCAGTAGCTTTAAACCGGATGTGTATCCGCTTCTCCTGTAACTTCCCTCTGTCTGATCCAGACACACAGAGGCTCTGAGGCAGGGGGAGGATCCACACAACACCAGGAAGAAGACAAGGAAGCATTCATGGGAAAAATTAAATCAGAGCATTCAGTTCCCACACTCCCCACACGTATCAAATTCAGCTACTGTTGGTTTATTGTCACCATGTACATTTCATTTTTGATTCTCTTTGAATAAATAACTATACTTATCATTGTGTTTGGTTTGTCTTTGCTGCTCACTGCTGTTATAGAGGGATGAAGTCTCAGATTGAAAGCAGATGATAAAGGTGTTGTTAACCAGGAGGAGTCAGGTACAGGTCGTATCTGATCTTGGCCGCCTCTCATGCCTCTCTACATTGTTCATGGTGGAACTGGTTGCAGACCTAATACAGCTGACCTGTGAGTCATCCTGTCGAAGTCACTGCCAAGTTCACTGTATTTGTGTCAGGACATGACATGTAGTCAAACCACCTCTCTGAGACAATCGCTCCGGCTGCTTGTGTTACCCTGAGGTATCAGACATGTAGCTCGAGGTCATGTCTCTGTCTTGTTTGAAGGAACATCCAGCTGTGCATTCCATTGGTGATAGAGCTCTGCAGCAAACATAATGTGGCCTGAATTCCCTTCAGAGGTTAAAGGAGCAGTCCGCTGATTTTATATGTAAAGGTCATTTTACCCAGTGAACCCATCATGAAGAGTATGTCGGAGTTATACAGTGAGTTCTTTTTTTAAATCAATCTTTTTCACAGCTGTCAGGGGCCATTTGGGTTCAGTATCCATCAACCTTCTGTTCTACCTCATGATCCCCAGCCACAGTGTTGTAAAGTTGTTTGCCTCAAATGAGAATATGTATCTGTTGGCTCAGGAATAACTGATTAACTGCGAGACACATCATCAAGAAGAGAAGAGAAATCACAGAATCAAATCAAATTTTTACAATCAAAGCATAGAAAAACTTCATTCATCACTGAGCTCTTGAGCGGGGAGAGAGGTTACAGCAATAACTTCCACTGCTACAATGACCTACGCAGCATCCAAGATGCTGCTTACATGAATAAGATCAAATAAAATGTAGGTGAGGTTCTTTAAGTTTAAGATGGACCCCCTCATTAAAGACTTAAGCAGCAGAGGTGTAAATACGCGGTGGGGGAGGGGAGAACAAAGGCAGTAAAAGCACTTTTAGACAACAACATAAATCAGTAGTCACACACTTGGGGCCTGACGTTCATCACTGACTAAAAATACCAAAATGTTTAGCAACTAATTCCAGGCATATTACCCTGTTTTGTATAACTGATCAATTAAAGCCACAAAAGCAGGGATTTAAATGCATTTTTCTACATCAGTGCACAACCATACTCATAGATACATTTGATTTAATTTGAAAATACCACAACAAATTCAACTTTCAAACTTCCTCTTATTCAAGAAAAGAGAGAGCTATCATGTGTCAGTATGTAATGAGGGGGTAGGTTTATAATGGGTCACTGGTTTTAAGTGTCTGGGCTCCAACTGAGCAACAGATTCAGGCTTTAGGACCTGGAGGGGAGGATTCCTCCCCCCACTGTCCCTGGATACTATGGGCGGGACTGGGTCTGGAAATAAGATTCCAGGGCAGAGATTTCATGCTCTGAAAATCCAGGCATAACAATCCCTGCACAAAATTCTGTTCTCTGCCATCAGATACATCAAACTTCCTATAGAGCAAATCAGCGCTGGTGGATCTGCCTGTGAGCAGTTTGAGGAGAACTGCTGAACTACTGACAGAACCTAATAAGGTAAGATAAAAAGATCTGGGAGTTGGGGGCAGGGAGAGAGTATCCTGAGTTCCTCTGGTGGGAAATGCCCAGGCATGTGAAAAGAGGCCACAGTGTCACAGAGTCATGTTAGTTTGCAGAGTTGTCTGCAACTTTACCCAAATGAATTAACATTATTAATGTTTTATACATATACAAACTCATGTACACAGGGAATGCATGGAATAAATCTCTCATCCCGTGAGATGAACCACTGATCTGTAATCGCTTCAGTTGATTAGTCGTAACTCAAGGAGAATGATCTATGGAAGCTCCAACATGAATGGAAACTAAGAAAACCACATTTAACAATGTGAGTCAATGGGTCATGGGTTTAGTCTTAAAATGTAAATTGCAGTGTTACTTTACAGATGCTGTTCTTATCACATCAGCCGCTTTAATCTGTTCTAAACCCAACACAGAAAAGATTACTGTTAAAAGCATTATCAAAGAAACTATATATGGGGATGTATAGCTAAAAGAATTCTGCTGCATGAAGTCCTGTATCACTCCATCTCTGTGTTGTCTCTGCGGCTTAGTGAGCCTGTAAAAACATGCCTGGGACGCTGCTGAAAAGACATTCTTGACATATAGAAAACTTTTATGTTAGGTAGAGTGTTGTTTCCTTATTTTATTTTAATAATGTGCTGTTTTTTACTCAGTCAGTGTTTTATAGAGCAAAAATATCTACTTCTAACTGTAATTATAAATATAACTGGCCATGAGATCCTCTTCTTGAAGCTTCATACGTGGCCTGTGTGTGTGTCAGCATGTAGTCAGTTCCTCCTCACCGCAAGGAAGTGATCAGTATCAACCACACACACGCTTCTTTGGGAGAATGTGTAAAATCTTCTGTGTTATAAAGATGTGAATAGCTCAGATTTAGCAGGCAGTGTTTTGGCTACATGTCAGCTGCCAACGTGGCTGTTATGTGAGTTTTGCCTTGAGGGTTCCTGGGAGAAATCCTCTGTAATTCGAATTGTGTGGTTATCCCAGATCAATCCTCCTGCTTACAACTGCAGGGTAAATACTGAAATTAGCTAGAAGATATGTTTTTTTAAAATTTAGGTTAAATAAAGAGGGTTTACTTTTTAAATAAAGTTCTGTAAGCCAACTGAAACAACAAATATCAACCAAAAGACGTCATCTTAGATGAGTACCAGCGGCAACATATTCACTTCATGGCTTCTCCTATGTGTTCTCTAATCAGTGTTACATCATGTGGGTGTTAAACCTGGCCACCCTGCTCCTCCTGGCCTCTTCAGCCTCAGCTGCCACATCCGCATCAGCAGACAAGGTCCTCAGCAACCATGCCACCATCCTGGCTGACAACAGTGCCACCCTGGCTTTCAGTCTCTACCAAAACATGGCCAAGGAGAAAAACATGGAAAACATCCTCATCTCCCCGGTAGTGGTGGCCTCCTCTCTGGGTCTGGTGGCTCTCGGTGGAAAGGCCTCCACCGCCTCTCAGGTAAAAACCATTCTGAACGCAGCTAAAGTTAAAGACGAGCAGCTGCACTCCGGCCTGGCAGAGCTGCTGACCGAGGTCAGTGACCCGAAGACCCGCAATGTCACCTGGAAGATCAGCAACCGTCTGTACGGACCCAACTCTGTCAAATTTGTAGATGAGTTCGTCAAGAGCAGCAAGAAACACTACAACTGTGACCACTCCAAGATCAACTTCAGAGATAAGAAGAGCGCTGTGAACTCCATCAATGAGTGGGCAGCCAAGTCCACTGATGGCAAACTGCCTGAGGTCACCAAGGATGTGGAGAAGACTGATGGAGCGATGATCATCAATGCCATGTTTTTCAAACGTGAGTGTGCATTCAATCTGTACATTTCCAGTGAATTGTTCCTTTGCATGAGCTCAAACTAATTTGTCTTACTCCCACAGCTCACTGGGACGAGCAGTTCCATCATCAGATGGTGGACAACCGTGGATTCATGGTGTCCCGCGGCTTCACAGTTTCAGTACAGATGATGCACCGCACAGGTGGGTGGAGACAATGCTGAATGTATTCACAGACCGGTTAAAGACCCTTAAACACTTAAAGGGACAGTTCAGCATATAGAGAAGTACTTGTTGGCTTTCTGCTTGGGAGGAAATAGACTCAGCACCTTGACTGGGATCAGGTGTAAATAGGTAACCTGGCTCAAAGGTAATAAAATCAGCGTACTAAAAGCTTCTAATAACAGGTCATATCTTAATCATTGAATTTTTACAGCTGAGGAGTAAAAAGAACTGTTCCAAGCTTTGTAGTGGTTCATGTGCCAAACCATTCTTGGCTCTGAGCGATAACGTCCTGGCATGTGTCCATCATCACTCCCCGTTACTATACAGTGCACTACATTCACGCTTTGCTGATGTTTTTCTTTTTTAATGTGCAATCTAATTAATGCGCCAGCCAAAATAAAACTGGAACTTCGACATTCTGTTCAGATTACCACAATTATAACAAAAACAAACCACTCCAAAGTGTGTTGTGAGATTCACATGTCGAGATCATTATTATTTGCTGTTTTTATTCAATATTTCTGCTTTTTCTGGTCTTTAATTTACACCGTTTCACATACACACATGGACCATTACAAGTGTTCTCAAACATTCCCACAATGCAAAGAAAAAGGGAGCGTCTTGGCCTGCACGCTGCTTCCTGTTACATTCTTGCAGTGCCGTACAGTACATTTAGGCGTGTGTGTTATCAGCGATGACATAACATGAAGATGTTTACATGTGTCCGACTTTAATGCTCACAACAGAGAGACTTATTATTTAATATGGTTTACAAAGTGTCTATTAATAAGTATGAGTGAGTTTATAACCAACTGTGCAGGTTTACAGCAGCAACAGCAGAACAACCTTTTAACAGCTGTTGTATTTTATATAACAGCCAACATTTCAGCATCATTAACATGGACTTTTGTCAAAACATCATTATGGCTTGTGTTGTGTTGCATTGTGGGTAATGGGAGCATTACCCACAATGCTTCCATTACTTTCACATTCCGGACCGGATTCCGGCTCAAACATGTCGTGGTGAATTTGAGAAATGACGACTTATATCTGATAACATATCAGTTATATACTTTTAGTTTTAGTTACTTCGTTTGACAGTTGGAGGCTTAACCGATGGGCTGCATTATGGGTAGTAGTTTGAGCTAAATAAGGACTGTGAATCATGCAGAGCTTCTCTAGTGGAATTAACATATAGAGTTGGAAATGGGCATAACAGGTCTACAGGCTCTTTAAAGCAGAGCTAGGAAGGCTGACTCCCCATAGATATGAGAGTGATTTATCTCATCTAACTCTTGGCAAGGAGACAATCAGCCCTTTCCCCCAGTATTCCTAACTACCAGTGCGTTCAGCATGCAGGGGGCATGACGTTACCTCAGACCTCTGCTCTGGAATTCACAAGTTACAGCACATTTAAACTGGCGTCAGCCCTTATCACCAACATCTCTCAAATCTGTTTATTTTTCAAGATCACTTTGGTCAGTGTCTTCTTCCTCTATGGCATCTCTTTTTCATCCTGAGATATTTGTATTCGTTTAGATTTTTTTCCCAACTCGTGTTCCAAATGTCATCAACATGCCACCTCCCTTGTGGTGAATGATCCGGACAAAATATCCTCACATGGGCTCATTCAGACATTATCCACAGTTTTAACTAAGGAGCTGGCTGGGTACTCCGGAGAAAGTCCACAGCAACTGACTTGGACATTTGCATTCTCACATCCAGCCCCACGTAAAAATTTCAGATTATCTGGAGTTCAGTGCATGTCTGAAAGCTGCTTTAGATTACTACGCATGATCATAGAAACAGGAGACGCTTCATACGAGCTGTACATACAGGCTTCTTCATGGCATGTGTTGGTTGGTACACTATATATTATTTGTGACAGATCAATACAAAAAACCTGCTCTACAGTACAAGGAGACACCACTTGCTCTTGTCTCTGTGATCACATCTAAAACAGAAAAGAGTGCACAAGATAAAGATGTTAATATTTGTAATACATTTCAATGGTTTCCTCAGGTCTCTATAGCTTCTATGATGACAGCACCAACAAGCTGACCATCCTGAGCATGCCTCTAGCTCATAAGAAGTCCAGTGTGGTGTTCATCATGCCCTACAGTGTGGAGCCTCTGGAGAGACTGGAGAAGGTGCTGACCAAGAAGCAGATGGATACGTGGATGGGCAAACTGAAGCAGACAGCAGTAGCTGTGTCTCTGCCCAAAGTCAGCATGGAAGTCAGTCACAACCTGCAGGTAACAGATTAAAGAAACCATGAGCTTCTTAGTGGATTTTAAATACCAGACCTTAGTCTTTACTTCTCACACTTGACTTGTTCTGCGTCTCTGTAGAAACACCTCGGGAAGCTGGGCCTGACCGAGGCTGTGGACAAATCCAAAGCAGACTTCTCCAACATCTCTGGGAAAAAGGACCTCTACTTGTCCAGCGTGTTCCATGCCTCTGCCCTGGAGTGGGACACTGAAGGGAATGAAATTGATACCAGCATCTTCGGCACGGACAAGCTAAAAAACCCCAAACTCTTCTACGCTGACCACCCCTTCATCTTCCTGGTGAAGGACCAGAAGACAAACTCCATCCTGTTCATCGGCAGGATGGTCAGGCCAAAGGGTGAAAAGATGAGAGATGAGTTGTGACCATGTGTTGACTGTAGTGTCTATAGATTAAACATCTGACTGTGAGTGAGTGTAGGCTTTCTACTGCAATATGCTTAGAGAAGTGGGGAATGAATTTTAGGTTTAATATTTTATACATTCCTTTGTCCCAACAGCATTCCACAAAAAGTAGTCTTCAGTTTTAACTCGGAGAATATGTGTATTCTTGTAATGTATTGGCGCATCACATTATGGACTGAAGACTTACATTAAGTATGATTTCCTCAATTTATGCCTAAAATGTAAATGCACAGTTTCATGAAAGTTGATCATCTGTATGTGCAGGCACAAAAATGGTCTTGTGATCAAGTCTTATCAGTCATTTGAGGGTCCTTGGTGTTTCTTTGAACAAAATAGTTTTTAGTTTGTCGAGCTTTGCTGTTTAAGTCCATTGGTCTTCCCAAATCATTTTCCAATTCTTTCACTTTCTCTTTTACCAAGAGGCTTCTGTGCAGTTTATCTTGGTAGTGATTTATGCTTAATGCACTGATCTACACTGGCAAACAAGAGGCAGATGTAAGCACTGTCTCCGGAGCAGGTGCACACATGGGTTTTGACTTAAAAATAAAATAAAAGTATGAAAAGTGTCTTGTCTTGATTCTAGATATTTGGTGCTGGTGTTTTTCCAGCTTTTCCAAAGACGCTGACTGAATTCAGCTGGCTTGTCTCTTGGTATGTCTGTTTGAATGACTGTTTGCAAAACCAGTTTTACCTATGGCATGTCAGTTTTGGCGTCAGGCCTCCTGGGTATTTCCAGCTGAATGACATGAGATAATTCCAGTGGGAATGCTTGGGCTGCTCTCACGCAATGTGATAATGTTGGAGGGGTATACACTACATGGTTAACATGCCTCTGAATGATAAATCTAAATATTTAAGCATCAACAAAATATTTGGGCTCATCCAGATGTGTGCTGCAGCTGCTCCACTGAGCAAAGCTACACATCATTGACCTCCCGATCTTTGCATTAGGTTCACAAAGAAACTACTACAAGTACTACAGAATGAAATAAGAAAATGAAAAAACGATTTAGTAGAATATAATAACATGAGTTGAGGTGAGTTGGTGCATCTTAAGGCAGTTTGTGGCCATTGTTTCTGAGTTAATTACCCCATCTAGAGGACATCTGGACTTGTGGCGGGGGAAGATTTAGAATTTTAAAATCAAGTAAATTCTAGTATTCAGCTAAATGCTTTATAATAATTTAGATATGTGTTTAATTGTACAGTCTTTTGTGGGTTTTCATTTTCTAAATTCGCTTTTATAAAGTGAAATTATTCTTTATATATTACAGCATCAAAGTCTGGCTACTACAGTGCATTTACCAAAACTCTGCTCTAACTAATTGAATAAAGATGCATACAGTACAGGAGTTTAGTTTAGGATATTAGTAGAGTTTAGTATAGCAGCGTTAGGAAGTAGTGGTGCTGTGTGATGTATGCAGTACATCTGAACTGTATGTCTGAGCTGCTTTTATCTATTGGTTGCTGGGGTTTGCTACACCCTGTAATGTACACAGGAAGAAACCTCTTAACGTTTTCCAGTGCATGTTACTTATAGTGTGTTCTTTGCAGATGTTATAATATCGGGATCAATTATAAACCACATACAGATAACACAGTACACGCCAGTAATGCAGTAAGTGTGTTTATCAAGAGAAAGTCCATAATGATAAACAATGATGTACTGTATGTATCTGTCCAGATCCTGTCCTGAACTCCCTGATATATCTCACACACCCAACATCCTCCCCTTATATTTAGTAAAATACTAGAGGACACAATAGAAAATGTTAAAGGATACAAACTTGTTAGCTTTATGTTGTAAAGCTGATTAAAGTGTTTTTTCTAATTTTGATGTTGGCTTAAAGAGTGGACTTGTGGTTTTATAATGAAAGACCAGATAGGATTAAAATAAGGTCAGGACAGCCATGAGGGAACGTCTCCTGCTCCTTGGCACAGAAATGACAGAGATGCGGTGGCGTCAAAGACACAAAGGAGCCGCAGCGTGGGATGGGAATAATCACATTTTTGTATCACAACCTGAATGTGATTAAACCAGCTTAAACACAAACACACGGGTGTGGATGTGTTGGCTGATGATGTGGGTGGCTTGGCACGACATAGAACAGAAGCAGGAGGAAGTGAAATGATGAAGTATTCAAAATGATTATTAATGTCTCAAATAAAAATCAAACAGGTTAAATGTTCGGGATGTTTTTTACATTAGTCCAGACTGGCCAAACTAAACACCTTTTGAGTTTTTATGAAAACTGAAGCTACCACAGGTTCTTTTTCATGTTTGGAAGGAGAGGGTGAGGTGAGGGGTGTTCAGCTGCAACATGTGATTTCACCACTAGATATCACTAAATTCTACACACTGCACATTTAAATGTAATCTGCTCCATGTACAGGACAGTATTGAAATGCTGTTTCTCTCTAATCCTTGGTGTAAACATATAAGAACGCAACATATTAATTATTCAAAAAAAAGAACACAACATAGTATGCAGCCAAAGGGCACAGGGTAGATAACATGTGAGTAATGCAAACTGGAAAAATGTTAAATAATAAAAAATAGAAATAGAATAATAGAAATAAATCAAAGAAAATTGG